GATATGAATTTGTAAAATGCATATGTGAAATGAGAGCCTTTTTTAAAGCCCTTCCTGTCAAAGTTATCAAAAGGCTGAACAATAAGATAAATGACTTGAAGTATTGGCTTGTTGATCTTTATGAAAGTGATTAAAATCATTTCTCGAATGAAAAAGAAAGTCATTTACAGATATTATAATCTTAAATTATGGTTTTTAAAATACATGTAAATAAAAAGAAAAACTCAATCACAGCAAATATGTTTATGCTTTCATGTTATGCGTTAACATAAAATGTAAAAAAGGGCGAATCATAATATGGAATCATAGTTTTTAACTATTGTTGTTTGTCAATACCTCTTCATTGAACTTTCTGTCAATATATAGACAAACGATACATTATATAGCACTAACAATGTATTGTTTTAATATTTCAATTACTGATCAGCACAGTTGCATTTTCCTTTCATTTTAAAATGCGGGTTTACTATAGACAGAATGTGTTACAGTTTTAGTGACATTATGAAAATTAGTGCAATTTTGAAAAAAAAGAATGTTTCAAAGTGTTAATCATTTTTGGACAGTGTATATCACCTAATACCTCAAAGAATGATAAAAGAGAATGGTCGGGGTAAAACTAAGCGTGTATTACTTGTAATTAAGTGACATCCATATTTTTTTTCGGAAAATTGGAAAATGAGCCTGTGCGAATATCATGCTCAAAATGTGTCAGTGGTAAGTATATAGTAAAGTAAAAGGAAACAAAAACTTACTGACAATTTGTACCCCTGTAATTAATAATTATCACAATGTATCTTGAAACTTAACTTAAATGCATGTACAAATTTAAAATCATATAATAATTTTAATGAGGTATTTTGTTGTTATGAATTGTTTTGTGTGTCCATTTTTGAACTACCACTAATACCTTATTACCTAAAAACTGAGGAAAATTCGATTCGAGAAAGTAAAGCATACAATCAATTACAACTGGCATAAAGTAATTTTTACATTCATTTTTATGGTGAAGTACTTAAAATTCAAACATGTGTTCGTTTGTTTTAAATGTTGATTTGTTTCAAGAAAAGGAATGTATGAACATGCATACAAGTTACTATTGGGATTGTTGTCTCAAAACAACTGGGTAAAAAGTTATCAAGAATGCAACATTTATGAAATGTTCATGATCTCTATTGTTTATATTTCTTATTTATAATAATGTTTGGTTTAAACATTTAAATTCATACATTTTCACTGCTTCAAGTAAAGCTGGTTACAAATTACTCATTATTTACATCATCTTTTATCAACAAGTCGTTCACGTCGAAAAAGCTCCAATTACTGTAAATGTTTTCTGCCCAGTGTTGCATTTAAAATTCTTTAAACTTTGAGTCGTATATTGGCGTCCAACATGTATGCGCTCAGCAGCGATTCGCATTGATTCAAAGTGTTCTCCTCTGAATGTTTTTTTTTTTTTTGTTTTGCACCTCATGAAAAATCGCGCGTAGAACTATGTCTGTCTACTTTAATAAAAACGATTTTTATAGTGAAATGCTCATAAAAAACCATTTAGTACCACTGCAAACAGGAACTTAGCAGTATTATAACTCTTATATTTTTGTACACGAGCTTTGAAGGAAAATGTTGTCTGGATGATAGAAATGTTCAATACAATCAATTATACGAGTACCTTTTCGGTAATAGTTCCTGAAAGAAGTGGAAAGTGTAACTGTTATTGTATCTCTTGGAAGCCAAACAGTATCTCAGTCGCATTAATACCAGAAGTACATGTATTTTGTTTGTAATATTTAATTTACATAGCAGTTCTTCCCCAAACAGCTTTAATGCACTTTTCGAGGTCATGAAACACTGCAAAAGCAAGACCATTGTAGAACTTGCAGTCATTGTCTTTTGAGATATTTTTCGTTTCCGATTAACAAGTTATTACACTGACAGTGTGTCAACAAGTCTCTTGTGCTTTTACTTGTGTTTTTCCTGTGAATAACGACCATGTCACACTAGACTGCGTTTGCACGGCGTTGTTAAATTTAACAAACTGCCGAGAGATCGCAATAACAAATACGATATTTTTTATGACATGGAGACTTTACGGAGTCTTCTCAGCGTCCTAACAGCGACCACGGCGAAGTTACGGAACTTCCGCAGCGTTTTAATTGGCGATTGCCGGCGCTCATACGGCGATCATGCGACGCTAACAATGCGCTGAAATTGAAAAGCTTCGTAAAAACACCGTGCACAAGCAGTATACGCCTGGTAGAGAAGCTCTACAGTCTCCATACAAGCGCAATGGATAACCACTGCGTTCATTCAGCGTTCCTCTTACGCTTTCATGACGCTCCTGTTGCGCTGTACGAGATGCTACTGAGTTGCTACGGCGTCCTTACTGGAATCCCACTGCGCTCTTATCAGAGCCCCACATTTGTTTTGAGCATGCTCAAAATACGCGCCGTCGGTCGGCGTTATATCTGTGTCACTGCGATGCTGTGCGTAGCTGCGGTGATGGTGGCGATCTAACTGCGCTCACATCGGCGTTCTGAATTTTATTTGGACGCCGTGAGAACGCCGCCCTAGTGTGACAGGTGTTTAAGAATAAGTTTGGGGCAACCATTGTCTGAGTATTTGTTTCAGTCGTTTTTTGTATCCTCAAAACTTCTAAGTCGCACTGTTCTTCAAATGAGTTCGTATACCATATTGTATATGTTTTCGCAAGCGAGGTAGCTGTTAATACGTCTTCTGGTGTTGTAAAAGAATGTGTAAAACCAGTTTTAGCAGGCGTCATCAGTGGATGGCTACGCCTCAGTAGATTTTTTCTAGCAGGTGTAGTCTGTTTTATTTTAAGTTGGTAATGGTTTTGCTTTGTTGGTTGGCCACTACTTCAGTCGTTGGATTGTAATTATTTGTGTTTATTGCTTTCAAAAATGTTCAATGTCCATATCTTTAAGATTATAGTGCGTTTTATATATTTGTAAACATGAACAGTCTCTGTTGTTTTGCCCAACGAAACTTTTACTTTCCTATTTCTGACAACTATACAATTTCTTTTTTTTACACCGAGAAACAACACACTGTTTTCTTGAACTACATGTATTTATATTAGGCATTTTGTACTGAAATCTGTATAAAAATGGCTAATTTTATAACTTGAACCAGAACATTTCTTAGATATGCAGTGGTGTAATGGCGGACGTAGATAGTATTCCCGGGGAGAAAGTGAGTTAGACTTAATTCATTGCATGGTCCATTTTCAGTTAGTGCCTTTAAATATTGTATGGTTAATTTTGGTTCAGAAAAATACTTTAAAAGTTTTGGAATATCAATCTAAAGCTTAATACATGTCACTACATTCTTTTAAAGTTGTTTCTTTTCTTGCATAATGTTTGTTTAGATAAACCATATAACTTAAGAGATATTAATTCGCAACCTTATTTGATAATAGACTAAAAGAATGACAACTCACTCTCTTTGTCAATCTCATTAATGCCGTTTTCTTAATTTGCTATTTTATAATCCAGGCTAGGGCACTAATTATTTGGTTTATACAGAATTATTTAAGTTCGATTGTGTAGGAAGCTATAAGCTTATAGACACATTTTCGAATCCGTTCCAGGAACCAACAAGTACTGAGCAATCAGTGTAAAGTTTCTTGCTCAAGGAAACAACGACTTGCCCCTGACGGGGTTTGAACCCACTATTTCAGAGCGTGAAACCTTTGTTTGATTAGTTTCTTTAATCTAGCTTTGTACTTTTTGGGTAATTGTCCTTTGTTGTGTATTATTATGGCAATATTTTACTATATATAGATGGTCTGTTGTCTAAAAACTTAGATATTAAACATGTTACATCGCAAGAAATGCAAACAATGTTTTACAATAATATGTTACTTAAAAGTACCATTTATAGTCAAACCCCACTGCGCCCTACGGGAGAAATATTAACACAGACTTATGTGAAAAAATGATATCGTACTAGAATTACCTACACAAGAACCAGACTTTCTGTATATATCTCATTTGCATCACTACCTAGAGCTTAATTTCAAAAAGATATTAGTATCATGCCACTGTGCCAAAATATTTACACAGTGTCGCTTTTTCTACAGGGAAAATATATAAAAGCTCTTTCCATATGTAACTTTCAGACATATAGCTAAAATTATACATGTAATATGTCGTACTGACCTCTGGTGGTTTAAGTTATATATACATTTGTATTTATAATATGGATAAAGTGTGATCCCTAGAAAGCACTGATCACAACAAAATTACATGAAAATTGTAGACTCGGTTTGTTTGAGACTTGACATGAGGGATATTGTAAACATGCAATATTCCTCACGCCCCTAGCACCGGCTTGAGCGTACTAAATTTTCAACACTTAAAATTGTTGGAATCAATGATCCATTAAAGTACGAGTCAACATTTAACAGCTGCCACAAACCACCCTGACACCTGCTGTTGTGAAGTAAAAAAATCTGGATAAAGTGTGATCCCTCAGAAGCACCAATTACAACAAAATAACATGAAAATTGCAGACTCGGTTTGATTAAGTTTGTCAATGAGGGATAATGATAAAGTGCAACATCCCTACTAAAATTTATCCAAGCTTGAATGAACAAGCTCTTTAAATATTATTGTTTGCATTTGTGTTTATGATATTTAAAAACTCTCTTACTTTTTCAAGTCGAATGATCACAAACATTTAAAATATATACTTATATAAACATATATACAAACATATATATATATACTTTAAAACCACTGTTGAGAAACAATAAGAAACTTAAGATAATAAAACATCATATTCAAATAATTAAATCCTAAACTTTTTACAACAGTGATACTAGCCAATGAATATTTATCCCATGAGAAAAACTTATTGATAGATCCTTATTGAAAGATATTTCTGAAGGTAAGCACATTGAACATAACATTTGTTGAAGATTTACAAGAACTTATATAGTAAGGAATATCATAATTTCTCTTTTAAAATTGTATTTTTAGGAAAACCAGAATAAAATAAAATTGATATAATGCCTCAAACATATCTGCGAAAGTATGGTCATGTGACAACTGCTGTCTATCAGTGTGGCTTCAGAATCACCAAAGAGTTGTTTGACAAACGAGTAAAGGATTTAACGCCACCAGGTCACGACCCATCTCCATGGACTGTCGACGACTTTTTGCATAAAGAAATGGATATCATACTTAAACATGATCTTGGCAAAGATTTGAAGAAAACCCTGTTCCCTGGATTTAAAATACCAACTGACACTGAAGCGTGGGATCTAAATACATTCTGTTTCCTTTTAATTCATTTCTGTAAACTGCGAAAAAATGTCAAACACGACATAAATCTATTGAGAAAATTAAGGAATGATTTAGTTCACATTGCAGAAAAAGAAATGGATTTAAGCGACGATACATACAAAACATCTCTTGATCTGATTGAAAATATCATAAAAAGATGTTCACAAGCGCTAGGAACACCTGAGCTAGAAGACGAATTACGGCCGTGTTTAAGAGATTCGGATGTAATGCAATCAGCTAATTTTGAAGAGATTAAGGCGAAATTGAGAAAATGGTCAGAAGACGAAGAAAAATATAATGTTTGGCTGGAAATATTATATGAAGGTAACTGATTCAAGGTAAAATGAATAAGCAGGCAATATATTCTGACGATATTCAAATGGGCATATCAAAATTATCCTACAGAAATTGCTAAAATTATTAACGACTTGAAAGTATCTTGTTGATAATTATTTCGGCATTTTAGTGTTTATATTAGAATATAGTATTGCCGTTCATGGAACATTTTCTAAATGATAATTGTCAGCTCTTATATTTTATATTTGCAATCGTATTTGAAGTAAAACGAAAACTTTCAAAATAAAATTTAACATTTCATGCGTCCGTAATATAAACGTATAACCTTTACATAATTTATCTGTACTTTCGCTGTTTGACATCAATATTTAACAAACATGATTTTTCTTAAATTAAGTTTAAACTGTTTTATTTATTTGAAATAAATTCACATCAAAAATAAAAATAATAATTTATATAATACAGGCAAGAATTATTAAAAAAGGATTGGGGTCTTCACATACTGGACTTGCTTGTATTTATATTTGACTTAAAATCAAGAATTTAACAGATTATTTCTACACTTGCACATCGGTCGAAGTAACGTGAGTGTATTCAGTGAGCTAAGCAGGGAAGGTAGATTATTTCTAACTGAAAGTTGTAATATACAGCAAAATCATAAACAAGTAAAAGAAAAGATATATTATTATTATTAATTTATTATAATTGATTACCATAATTATATCTACATTGTATTAAGAGTATGGATTTTGTTTTATAGATCTTGAGGAATTTAAAGCACAATTACTTCGCATACAAGAAAACTATGAGAGGAGTGGAAGAAATGCAAGATTTCCAATACGTAAATTTTTGTGTGTTTTTATTATTGTAGAGAAACAAGAATTTATTATGTTACAGTTGTTAGTGAGAAAGACTTTACAAAAACATGTATTAAATTTGATACTTGTCAGGGGTAAAATGTTTGTTCATCTATAACGAATCTCGCGTTAATTTTTAACTGTTCACATACACGTTTTAAATAACACTGACACTATCAAGATAAACAAACATGGTGGCATTCCAAATCAATTGAAGCATAAGACCCAAACCATCATGCATTTGTTCAATCACGATCTTGCAGTGTATACATACACTGCTTACTGTATATTATTTTCTTCTGTTCAATGGTAAAATGTCTCGCGCAGGATTCGATCCACAGAGAGACGATGAAATGGATCAAACGAAGCAATTCCTACCGTACAAATAAAAAATAAAAATAAAGATTTACAAGGCAAGACGACGTTCACAGAACGCAGCATACCATTTATCTGGAGATATGGGTAAAATATGTAATGTAAAATATGTAATGCAAACATAATTTTGTATTACTTTTGTATAATAGTTTGGTTTTACAAGAATGATAATTGGCTTTGAACTATGCAATGAAAAATACAATGTCTTACATTTCAGCACTTTCAATTGCAATAAGGTTTATTGAAATCGGCAGAGCATTAGAAAATGCTGTTTTTGCTGCAACAAATGATGAAAGTAAAACGACAACAGAAATTGTTGCTAGAGTCAGAGCATTATTTGAATTAATTAAGGATGATGTTCGTGAAATGGGCCCAGAAGTTGAAAGCAACAGCTCTGGTTCCATTCTGTTCAAATTCACCTGCTTCTCGGTATCGTCTCTGATATATTTGATCAACTACTTTAGCGGCCCGATTCTTCACAGACGCGTTCACGATATCGCTAAATCAACTAATGAAAATGAAGAGGGCATGGTAAAAATACAGATTTGCGTCCCAGAAGAAAATCATCAAAACATTATCCGACAGCTAGGTACGTGTGTTTGAAAATATCATGTTTATTTCTAAAGTAATCTATTAAAGTTAAAATAGAAAGAAAGAACATGAATGCAACTGAAAGTATAAGTTTATTTGCCATTATGATCATGATCTTTAGCAAATAACGATTCAAATGCTCATTTAGCTAATTTAAGTCAAATTTCTATAATTTTTGGTAGTTTTGTCAATGAAACAAACTGAATGTATGTAAATCGTTTCCCGATATCTTCCAAAACTTGATAGGTATTCAAGGTTATAAGGTTAATTTATATTAGAAATCATTGTCCTGATGAATATTTTATTTTTAGAAAGAGATTCGACATCCTCAAACGACTATCAACCACCTTCCAAGAAATTGAGAGTTTCCACGCATGTAAGGGAATAAAATTTTGTTGTTCGTGAATTATAAACACTAATTCATCAATAAATGGTATGCGTAAAAACAATCAAAGGAAGTTTAATTGATATTACAGAATTTTATGAGCCGCTGAAAAGTCTTATATATGATTTCTTTATATTTACAATTATAAATTGGAGATTAAAACACCTATTGTTATCAATTTTTTAAGTTTTTACATTTGTTCACATTATTAAGTTTTATGGCTTCGTTTTTATATAAAACATTGTGGGTTTGACACAAAAATGACGAGAATGTGTTTTATTATATATAATTCTATAGCGGGGCAAATATTGACCTTTTTAACAAAGATTTATAGTACTATTGTGCAAGACATTACTTTTTAAAACAACTTTCCTCTGAGGGAACTTACATTCGCCTCGTTACTGTTGTTAGTTGTATCAAATAGTTATATAGGACACACTAACATCATACATCAAGTGTTACATAAATTATCACGAAAAATATTAAAATCTGAACTCAAAACTATTTTCATTTATGAAATATTCCTAAAATATTACTTATGTAAAACAAATGAACTGGTTATTTTCACTACTAATGGCGTACCCTCATTACTCTTGGTACTACTGAAAGTAAACAAAAATAACTTTTTGAGTCTACTGTTCCGTTCCAGAATGACCTTTCTCGTATATATTCAAACTCTCTACCATTGATCAGTTCAATGCAGCAATGTTCCGTATGAAACACATTATAGAAATCTTGATTTACATAGTTTGGTCTTGTCAACCTTAGTCTTCACGAACGAAAAATAAATGTATTTATAGTTATCGAACATTTTATCTTGTAAGATTAAAATTAAAACACAATTTCGTATATTTGTTTGAAACTTTTAGCATATGATGCAAGTTGCATAGATATACTTGAACCTCATTGAATAGGGTCAAATCTTTTAAAATAAGTTTTTCATTTGTTTTGATATCAGGTGTTTAATGATCCGTTGTATGGTCAAATAGAGCTTCATCCATTGTGCGTAGATATCATTGATACACGACAGTTTCAGAGATTGAGGTACATCAAACAGCTGGACACATGTTACTATGTCTATCCTGGAGCTAGCCATAATAGATTTGAACATTCTATTGGGTAAGTTTCTGTTATAAGAATCTAGACAAAAAGTGAATACATTGGAAGCTTCCATCCAAATAAAATTACATGAAAATTGCTCAAGTCTGTACCTGAGGGATATTGAGAAAGTGCTTAATATATTAAGTTTTTTATGGGCAATATTGTTTTGCCAGTTTACCTGCAGGCTATATGAACAACGCCATGTTTGTTCTCGAAATCGTGAAAATTACCAACTCATTATTGGTTTTTCAGTGGTTAAAATTAGAAACCTTATCGCTTTCAAAATTCTGAAAGCTCGGTAAAATTTGTCTTTTTGAAAAATCACGGTTTAATCAGATTTGGTCATCCAACATGCCCAAATTAAAATTCTGTAAGTTTTGATATGTATATATCTGTTTATTGATGAAAGTTATTTATGTATAGATACCGTCTAAGAGCAACCGCACCAGCATACGCATTTTTACATTTGATTATATAACTTTGAATTTAATAACACTCGCAGACACATTCATAAAGTTATCTTTGCTATATGATTTGTTGTGTCTTTTGTTTTTATATATTCTTTCAGTTACACAGTTTTCCACATGTGGCTTCATTATTGGCTACACCCTATTACTGTTTGCTTATATTATAGGGTTATTTTTGTTTTTTAATATGACTTTGAGCATACGGCACAGGCATTCAGCTCAATTTTCTTGTAAGGCGTTTCATAGATTTAATTTTTGTAAACCATTGATATAAAGCCCACTGCTACTTCGAATATTTTACAGTGTTTGTCACTTGGCGGGAAAACTGTTGCGAGTTCTAAAAGAACGTCAGCCTGAGTTGGACATTACAACAAAGGACATTCTATGCGTAGAGATTGCTGCTCTTTGTCATGATTTAGGTAAGTTGTCACTCACTTTATATATAATGAATAATGTGCTTTATATTCCAAATGGGCATCATGACTGGATTTTGAAAGAATATTTTATTTTAAAGATAATTATTACCTCATAGAATGTTTCATAAATCATTCTATGCGTAGAGATTGCTGCTCTTTGTCCATACTTACTTGTGCTTTTTTATCAAAGTAGACATTATTTTTAGAACTTTAGAAGAATATCTTATAATTGTATCATAGTTTGGAAACTGTTCGGATGAAAATGTGTCAGAGTTAAATCATATACATGCACAGTGCCTTTACTGGAGTGCAGGTATTTGTTACCCGCACTCCATATGCATGCTCATTGATTGGTTCATTTTGTCTGGGGTTTACTTATTGTGACGGCAGAAAAAGGGAAAACGCTAGAAATATCATATTCAGATGCTCGTCCATTGGTTACTTTTTTCTGGGGTTTCATATTGTGACAACAGGGAACATTTGCCTATGATACAAAAACGAAAGAACATAAAGACACTCGGCAATCCCCTCGAACAAATCAGAAAGCATCTTGTTTCGATACTCTCTCTAATAACTAAGTTGTTATTATCTCATACATTGTTCATAAATTTTTCCGGTAACATAAGAGACATTTAAAAGAGAAACATTATATAACTAGTTTTGCATATCATACATCATCATTTCTAAAGGTCAAGGACCATTCTCCCATGTGTTTGAAGATAAGTTCCTACCAGCTATAGATCAAGACAGTAAATGGAGGGTATCTTATATTTTCAGTTCTGCTTTTTTAAATCTACGTAGCATTTTTAATTGATCAGTGCTGTCATTTTCATCTTTATTACATGCCTTTATATTTTCATTGTATTTAAATTCGAAATTAACTAATATTTTATCAAACTTTATCAAACATATAACTATTTCCAACTATACTTCAATATTACAAATTTTGAAAAAAATATAAATAAATGACGTCTATATTTAAAGAAAATACGCTTTGGAAACAAAAAGAATTAACACTTTTATTTAAAATATTTCTAGCATGAACGTGCCTCTGTGGAAATGTTTGAAGATATGATACAAGAAAGAAATGGTAAACTTTACAAACTATTCCGTGAGTATATACCGGGATTAGAAGATAGAGATATAATTTTCATCAAAGAACTGATCGGGGTACCTCCGGAGCCAACGTCTGAGAAGGTAAATATTCTTTATATTTTTATTCAAATTTATACCAAAAAGGCATACCTACAAAAAACATACAACACTTGCTGGTGCCACCTTAAAGTCAACCCAAAACCTCAAATAATGTATGTTATGATGCCATATTGTTGTTACATATTTACTTAGACAATTATGCAATTTCGTATCTAAATGTTTAATTGACTATTTATAATTTACAAAATCTTGAAAATATCCGCTGTTTGTTTCCCTTTCTGTGTTTTTGAAAACGTTTCTTTCGCCTCATCAGTTGCCTTATTATATACATATATTTTGAAATTACTTTCTTTGTATTGTTTTAAATATATAAACATAATAGTAATTCAATGGGCATTTTACGGTTTGATGATAAAGCATGATTTTTACTGTTAACAGATTTTGCAATTCAAAGGAAGGGACAAGAACAAAAGTTTTCTTTACGAGGTATTTTGAAATTATTTCTTAATAATATAATATTGTGTTCCAGTTGTTTTCAAAGTATATTTTACTTTATTTTTTGGTATCAATAACTCTCTCGCAATTTAATTCGTATAACAATATAAATTGATATTACTTCACTCTTTTGCAAGGTGGTTGCTAACCATGTGAATGGAATAGATGTTGACCGCTGGGACTATATTGCCAGGGATAGTTACATGCTAGGAATGAAATCTGTTTTTGATCACAATAGATGCATTCAACACGCTAGAGTAATTATAGCAGAGGGGCGAAAACAAATTTGCTACAGAGATAAGGTAAACTAGACACACATATTTGGTTACACTTTATTTGAATATCAAAATACATAAAAATGATAATATATACAAAAACTAGACGTTTACAAATGTTTCCAAAATGTTGCTTTTCTTCATTGACACTGCAATTCCTAATCAATTTTTACCAGGATTTATTCACAATTTCAGGCCGCTCAAGACCTGTATGATATGTTTTACAGTAGAATGGCACTGTACAGAAGGGCGTATCAACACAAGACGCACAATATCATCGGATTAATGTAAAAGCCCTCAATTATTTTTCTCAGCCTTTAACAATTGTGATGTATTATCAAAATCATTGATGAATGAACAATTTTTAGTGAATAATTGGCACTTCTTTTCGGATAGTTTATTTTTCATCACATGACTTTTAAACAGTTTATATTTATCTTTCTGTATTAGTTCGCATGTTAATTACTAGTTCTTTTAACGCTGTCAATCTTTGCTGATATGAAGTAAAAACAAACAGCTAATGTTGTTCAAATCCAAGTTAAAAGAATGATAATTTTTGTACAGAGAAATGTATAATAATAAAGTCACAATACTCTTGTTGTTTTTAATGTTTCACTTTTTCATTTTTATCGATTTACAATTTTAGTATATAAATCTACTTGTTTCTCTTTTTCAGGGTCCGTGACGCATTGCTTGTGGCAAATGAGAAACTATTTTTTATTGGTGAAAATGGGTAACTTTAGCAAATTTTATATTTAGCATAAGTTTCACATAACAATTATTATATTCAATATGGCCATTCCGTAAAGACGCATTTATCTTAACACTCTCGTCATTTGTACCATAACATGTTGAATTAGCTTACGAATAAATCTAAATTGGTGTAAACTTTAAAAAGGAATTTCAATATCAAGGAATAGAATGTGGAAAAATAAATTATGGATATAGTTTAAACATAGTCTTTCAAATGGATTTTGGAAAACCCTGGTTTAAACCATGAAGTTAGGCCAAAATTTATGAGAGCATATTTATTTAAAACAGCCGACAGGTAAAACTATCTGACACTATAAAAGACATGAAGGCTTTTACCCATCTGACAGACGACATCCTGCAGCAAATACAAAGGTCAGTTGATAAGGATTTGGAAACCTCTAGGGAAATAATAAACAGGATTGTTCAGAGGGAATTTTACAAGTGTGTCACACAAACACAAGTCGACGTTAAGCAGGTATTTTGATACAACATCGACATTAACGCAAAATGATGTAATACAGTCGCGGCTATACCCAATTAACTATCAAATTATCAAGGTGTTCTGCAAATTTCATGCTAGATATATTTAGTTTATTATGTCCGACTGCTATAGGTTGCTTATTTACATACTGTTTTTAAATGGAAAGTATATAGTTAATGCAACATTTGTAGAGAAATAAAATTATTTTTTTGCTCTTTAAACAGAGTGAACACTATTAGAAGGCTTAGTATGTTATTTGAAGATTAATTTCTTTTTAGTGTCCCATTTCTAATTTGACGGATAAAAACAGTTTAATAAAATCGTTACAAATACAAAATAAATGGTGGTAATGTTCTAAGTGAAAATAAAAACAGTCGTATATTTTTTCTTTTTTTGCAGAAAGGTTGGATAGTTGAGACTGAAGTTCAAGAAAATCTTTTTAACAAGATTAATCAGAAACTGCCCGAACCAAGAGATTTGTCAAAAATCATTGAAATTGATGCAAGTACCTTTACACATACATGTTTTTATTAAATTACTCATTAATCTCATGTTGAAAATAGTTTAAACTAAACTTGTGTGTTTAGTCACAATATTTACTATTTACAGAATATGTACATGCATAGTTCAAGGAAATTATAGATATAATACTATAAATATAATAATTATATTATTTTTATCGTAATTGTAGATTGAAAAACAAGACGTATTAAAAATTATTTAAAAGCACGATCAATAAAGAACGACATAAACTATATAAGAACACCATTTAATAAAGAGAAGATCACCATTTAAGTCAATATATTTGTTGAATAGGTTGTTAACCTGGACTATGGAAGCAAAGAAAAAGATCCTATTATGAACGTCTGGTTCTTCAAAAAAGGACAAGAACAAAAAGCCATAAGAATAAACAAGGATCAAGTAAGATACTTAGAAGATATGTTTTACTTACAAAGCACGTTTGCTATTTTACAACTTATTACAATTTAACCGCATTCAAATTTTTAATCGGACTATTGCAGCCAGGGACTTTGCAATTATGGTTAAGATCAACATCAGCATTACCCGGCAGAGACAGGCATGGTCAATCAGAAAGGACAATTGAAAGCTTCGCAAAATGTATTTTAATTGTCACATATGTTTACTGCTCAAAATATTTAAACTTATTAAATTTAACATGTCCTCTTTGCGTATGACTGAAATTGGTAATGACACGACAAGTCTAGATAAGTTAATAAGCATATGATGTTACCAAAAAGTGACAACTCACTATGTTACGTTCCACTCAAAGACTTAACTCTGAAATTCGATATCTCTTAACGATAGTTAAGCCTCTTAATTTAAATGATTTCTTGGAAGCATTGGTTGTTTCTGGCTCGCAGTCCGTGCTTTTCGTAGGGCCCTGCTGGGCTCCTTGCCGGTGGCCATGTGTTGCTAGGTCGTGTTTGTTTGCATTTATTGTACGCCGCCCTTCCTTATTGATCTTGTTTTTCATTTTGAGCTGTACAGCTTGTAAGAAATTTAAGAAAACCTTAGGCTGCGATTTTTGCTTATTTGTTTCTATTTCTCAAGGGATATATCAGTTTTGAAATTATTTGTCATTCACTGTCATTAAGTAAATATACATTTTATTCATAGGTTTCCTTTATCCTTCCGGACACGTTTGCAGAACAATATGTTCGAATCTACTGTAGTGAAACAGACCTGAACTTATTCGATATCATTGAAAAGTCCTTCCAAGAATGGTGCACGGAAAACAATATTCCGCCACCAAAGGTATCTTTATGATCTTCTTTATGAAGCGCGGTATCAGGGAAAAAACTTTGTATGGAAAGAAGTCTATACCATTAATTAGTTAATTTATGTTATTCAGCAATAAATCAAAGAGATCTTAGTCATTTCATTTTCTTCATAAAAATGTATCATGGATATTTCAGTACTAAACTTAATTTCAAAAATTATTTAATTCTTTTGTTGTTGTTGGGTTTTTCGGCCCAAAACAGTATATGTCACATGAGGACATATACTGAAGACTGAGGAAGACATTATTTCAGGCACAAATGGGCTCCTGAAAAGAAGCACCGCAGTTCTGATAGCTTGATAGAAATCGACGACGCTTGTTTAACAAGTAATTTGAAGTCAAAGACCTTAACGGATCCCCCTTAGTGATTTGATAACAGGGTTGAACATTGAAAACATTAAGAAACTGTTCAACGTATGGATGGTAGAATGTGAGATCTTAACTTATTTCTTATATAAAATTGTACAAATATTTTTATAGATTTATTTATGCGAAAAATGTTATGAATCTATTTTCAAACGTTTAAATTAACATTTTTGTTTTGTTGTTTTAGGGTTCCGACATACCATAGGTATAAATAAAAGAGGAAAGTTAGACAGAGCATTATTTTGTGCTGGAACACTCATTTTACACTTAATGATGATTAGTGTACTATACTATACAACTAAGTGCTTTGCCTGTTCATATTATGAACAAGAGAAATGGACAACTGAAAACTTGTATTAGATGTATTATTAACCCTTACTTACTTTGCAAATTTGCACGAAATATTGTTTATTTCATTTTTATCTTTTTTATATGCTCGATAAAATTTGGCGTGTATTGCTATGCAACTGGCAGTCCGTCCAACCGTCCGTTCGTCTTTTGTTAATTTCGTGACCTCTCTGTTTGGAAGGAAATTGAAACAACTTAACAAAAATGTAAACCATAATAAGACAATAATGAGTTTGACCTTCCACAGGTCCATGTCATACGTATAATCACCGAGAAGAACCAAACATTAGTGACAAAACTCATTACCCTGATATCTAAAAAATGGCTCCGTTCAGGGTCGGGCGGCGTCACATTAATAATTATATGGAGCACATGCCTTTAAAAATTTAGCATGTAGCATCACTTTGTTGATTTTATAAAAGTGAAATTATTACTTCTGTATCATGACCACTCAAGATGTTACTTGTCTTTGATCATTGACTTAAATTGATACTTGTACTGTGAGTTCTTTTAAGTAAAGATTTCAATTACAACTTGGTATGCACACTGGGTTTTTAAAGGAGTACATATACAATGTAATAGATCTCAACAAAAGTTAAAATAAATAGCCATAAATCTCTATGCCCTGGTGCCACTAAGTATCATATTGATAATTGAGATAAAGCATGTTCCGGACAAGTGTAATGAATCTGAATCGGTCTCTTCTGTTATTCAAACATTATTTCTGATTTCATTAAAATTCTGATTACTAGAAAAGAGGTATATTGCCCCGCCTTTGCGGTGCTCTTGTTGATTCTTGCGTGTAGTGTATATCAATGTGTAAACAGGTCTTGTTTAATGCTTGTGTATTTATATTTTTCGTGTACACTTTTCTTAATGGGACTCTTATGAGATGTTTTGACACGTACTAGAAATAATTTTTCGAGATTATTGCCCCATTTAATGTAGGTCTAGACCAATAACTTGTGTACAACTTGCAACCTTTTTCCAGTTTGGTCATTTTGCATAACACAACTAATTATTCTGGAAAACAATGAATTACCTAAAATTTTGCACACACGTTTTTAGTCACTTACTACATAAAATGCTACAAATGTTTCGAAAAAAATACATTTTTAGTTTATTCTTTTTAAAAAAATACTTCAGTGGAGTCCCTCTAAAAGTAAAAAGCAAAAAAATATTTTGTGCGTAGCGTAGATGTTTTTAAGTGTTTAATACCTCTATCATTAGAGCAGAAATTATTGTATTTCCATAATTAAATTATAACTATTTTAATCACTGCCATAGTTTTTAGAGTCTGCACACTTTGTTGGATGACCAGCACTTTGACGTGTTTATTAATGTTTCAATACATTTCTTACTACTTGCGTGTATTGTGTTATCATATAACCAGTGACAAATAAAGTATTCTTTGCCGTGTATAAGTTGTTTTCCTTTCCCTTTATTTAATCTCCACCACCATCCCATTCGTAGTCTGTTTTAATTTCAATGCAAGAATCAAGTAAATCAACCAATTAAAGAAAACATTTATTTTAATTTAATCTAAGCCTTTAGACTCTAAAATGTTAAAAATTTGCATCTTAATGATAATAGTTGACTCGCTTTAATTCTGTTGTGGACTTATCCAGGGTTTTACAGTATTGATTTGATAGTGTAGTAATAAAATATTATTTTTTTGCACATTATTTTGTAAACAATTTGCGGAAGTAGCAAATAAAAACATTTAAATTTTCCCTTTCAAGTGTCGTTTTTATCTGTCGAAACAGTTAAGTATGTCTAATATCTTGCAACGTACTTGTATTGCAGTATGTCCCCAGTTATATATGCGAATTTAAAGCAGGACTAAGACCTGCAATAATGACTTGAAAATTCATTTCCTAAACTCCTCAATATTAATTTACATGTTGTAGAGAGTTCATTGAAAAACAAAAATCTTGCTTTTATTCAATTTTTCGCTGTGAATTTCAATTGTGATAAGTATGAAAAAGGCATGCTACAACCGAAAACAAAATTATTTGGAATCAAGTTTTAAGAAATGTTAATTTCTATGCTGCCGCCGATGTGTATCTGTGATAAAACCAGATACTAGTCTGACACCAGTGTTAAGCATGTTCTCTGCAAAAAGTATGTATAATGATGAAGTGTTTCTTTCTTTCTCTTATTCTTAATTCAGAAAAGTTGAAATACTTTATTATCCAGTATTCCCCAGTTATCTGGTTGAAAGCATAAAACACAATTTACCCTGTGGGTAAACGCTGTGAGAGATGGGTTTTCCGAACTCTGATCATGTACAGCAAGTGAACATACCATTACTGGCGAAATTTGAGAGTAGTATCATAAACAATATTTATTAAAAAAACTAATTGTTGCGTTAAAGTGTATATTATCGGTACTTATATTGAATTTTTAAATGAAGAAGTCTTCTGTGTCTTTATATAGACCGAATTCAAAATTGCAGTAGTAAAAAAATGAAATATGATACACAAGATCAAATGCAACTGAAATAAGACTTGTATGATGTTTGTCAGATGTGTGTCTATGTTGTTTGATACTGTTTCGGTGACACCTTTGGGTCTCTTGTTGTTTTCTCGTCTACGGTAAGTATCTTGCCCTTTGCCCCTATTTCTTATTTATACTATTTCTATCCCCCCTCCCCGGGTCTCATGTCCCCTTTCCCTGTACCTTTTGACTTTATGGGCCTAATATTCAATCATTTATTTGTTTTCTTTTAGTTCCTTATCAGTTTCTAATTATTTATTCTTAGGTAGTGGTTTGCCCGCCCATACTCTGCCTTATGCCCTTCCCTGTTTTTGTTTGGGGTCATCCTGGGGTCCTTGCCACTGACCCTTGTTATTGGGTCGGGTGGGGGCTGTGTTCATTGAACGCCGCCTTTCCTTGATGATCTTATTTATCATATTTTGTATTTATTCGTCTCCAGGAGAAGAAACACATTCAGTTGATACATCACATCTAAAACAATCCAACAATATTCATGCACATACCGCATAAAAACCTTTTTCTTATTTCATAAAATATTGCAAATGAGTCCAATATAATCAGTATGGTACTCAACAATGTTTGATAAACTCGTTGTTTCAAACACCCAATTTTTAAAATACAAGAATAATAAGAAACGTAGACACGAAATCTAACCAAATCAACGGCACGCAAATAGGCGGGCAAGGCGAATGATAGGACAAGTATTTACTAAAAGGCAACTTTTTAGCGTAGAAATTAGTACAGAAAGGAGGATGTAGGAAAATGAGGAAGAGATGGGGGTGGCGAAAATGGAAGGGGAGAAAACACCTACCAAAAGATGAAAATAGATTGGTACACCAATAAAAGAACAAATAAGGTTGACAAGACACGAAGAAGGTGGGACACTGCCAACGATCAATAGCTGAAACACTACTGAGGGGTTTAAACATGTAAATTGTGCACCAAACGTTACTCTTAGTCCCAACAGTTTCTTTGATACGGGACGGGGTACATAAAATTATTTCCCACCAAGTAACTTATAATGAGTTTCACACATAATTTAATCTAGTGAAAATACGTAAAAAACATTATCACCATAACAAAAGTAATCCTGTCTTTATGAAAGGCAGAGAAACAAGAAAATCACCTGCAAGAGCCTGGCGAAACAATACAGAAGACAAAAATAAAGACAGTTCAGTCCTAGTGGGTTATATAAACTGATCATCATAAATCTCCAATTTGTCCCGTCAGATAAAATCAAAAGAGGAAGCTTAATGTGTTGAATACTAAGCATACAGTTTTTGGCATAACCGTTTAAAAAAACTGTACAAAAATAGAATTTTTGACTTGAAAAATGAGTTGGAGACTAGATAGTGAAAAGTAATAATCGATATGGTTTTTGGACTAGGAAAAATGAAAACGAAGACAGATGAAGAACATTTTGTATATGATTTGAATTTTTTGTGTATAAATGTTCAATGCGCATGCACGAGAATAAGACAAAAGAACCTTTATAAAGGAAATGAAAACATGGACAATCGATCGATTATTTTTCAACTGTGAAAACGTACTCTTGTAGTTCCACAACGTGAAACACGTTTTGTTAAACTCTATTTTCTGTATTCGAGTTTTACATTTCATATCTATATTTCACGTACAGATAGATATCTATAAGTGTGCAAACTTGCATATGTATTGTATGCAATGGAAGCTACGAACTTGTAAATTTATTGTTGTTTTCCATGTTAGGTAATTTGTTACGATCTTTATGTAAATTTGTTATAAAAAGGTGGGAACGTTCAATTAAAAGGCATATTATTTACTATGCACGGATAAATTAATAAATGGAAGGCATACAAGTCGGCATTTTCAAAAGAAACAGTTTACATGTCTGGAATTTTGGCAACGAACGCCCTCCATACTTTTGAGCCATTTAGTGCACGTGGATATGGAAATAATTTAATTTTATACACTTGTTTTCCAATCAGATAGACTATGGAAGCAGTCGCTGATCTAGAGCTTTGGAGATTCCTACCTCTCCCTCCCCCAACGGAGTAGGATTGCGGCTCGCAGCATTTCTGACTTTGGCTTTTTCTGATTATATAAGAATTTAACAATCTATCTGCAAGTGATTAAAGGTAGTGATTAAAGGTTGTATCTCTTACAAATTTTAATATAAATTGAATTTCATTTGGTTTGTCTTTTTTTGGTCGGAAAGCAGAACTCGTTTAAGAAGAGAACGTACAGATTTCCTCATTGAAGTTGTTTCTTTTAATTTCCTGTACATCATTTGACAAAATAAACGGGACAACTTATGAACGTGCCCACTTACCTTGTTGTGTGTGTTTTTGTTTTGTTTTTTTTTTCTTTAAAGGTGTTTGAGCGCCGGTGTATGTTAGAGTATATTATCGTTTGAGAGGATCGCTCGCATAAAAGCATAATTGTATTTATTCATGTTGTACAATTTGGAAATATATCATTTATACAATGTCTTAAAAGCTTTACATGGCCGAAGTAAATTTCAAAAGTATAGGGACATTAAATGCACAGATAATAACAATGATTAGATGTAAAATTTGAAGGTCATCTATTATGTACTAGTTGTGCAGACGTTTATTGCGCATTTTCTTTTGTTTTAAGGGGAAAAAATAACAAAAGGCTAGATCCATAGTGTAATTTAAATATATCTATACTTTCTCACATATCGTATTTTAAGTCACGCTAAGGTAGACTCAACACTTAACAAAGTAAAGACTGATATCAATGCAAGGTTTTTAAAAGGTAAGTTTATATCTTTCTAATTTCGGTTTCATAAACAAATGTTCTCACATCGTTTGATTGTATTAAAAATAAAATATCATTTGTTCTTGAAGGAATATATGGCAACTCGTTAAAATATTCATACATATTGTATTAACGTTGATCAGCCAGTTTATAAATAGAATTCGAAGTTAGTTATTTGTTTATGTATTAAGCTAAATATGATATCTGCTGTAAAAATGTCTGAATGTTAAAAAGATTTTATAAAAACAATACTTTCAAAAAGCTTGTATAAATTAAATATGGTATTACACATATAATGCATGCACGAAATCATTGTTAAACAGATAAAATCCAACTTAAAATAACAAAATAAAAACCAAAACATTTCTTTCTGTTTACGTACAATATCCATGTGTGTTAAATATCAGAGAAATTCTATGTTACAAACCTTTCTAAAAATTGACCATAAGATTATGGAACCAGTGTAATTTTTACTGTTGGTGAATTTAGAAATATTTTTTTGTAAAATACAGCTTTATGCCCTTAAAGTTGTTTGGAATAAAATTTCATTAGGTTACAACAATACAACAATAAAAACACAGGAATCAGAACTTAAATGTCTTAAAGTACTATATAAGGTATTTGTTCGGTATATAGCACTGTTTAGTAAGTAAAAAAAATGACGCATATCAATGTGGTCTTATTGCTTACGAGCCATTGCAAAGTTTGTCTAAGACTGAAAAAAAAAACTGAAGAGATTTATACTAAAAACAATTATTTGACACTAAAGACGTAGATATAAGAGATAAATTGCTTACCAATGGTTACTTAAGTTTAGTTTCAGTCTTTGGTTTAGTGATTATCACTCAGCAACCAATAAATCGTTTATTATTATTAGTTGTAAGTATTTTGTAAGATTACGTGGCCAGGTATTTATACGATATGCGATATTGCTTTTACAAATAACATTATATTCCATAAAATGCAATTTTAAATCTTGGAATTCATTTTGACCGATTATTTTTAATAGCCAACTATGTCGATATTGTCATGAAGTCCGACAATGTACCTACATATTACGTGCGATAAAGTCCTAAAAGGCTTTCAATAGACGTCGACATACACCATCTATTAATCCGTTTAATAATATTGAAAGCCATCATTAGATTGTTCATGTTGACGCTATATAAACATAACAAAAGAAATCAAGGACATGCAACATGTAAGAGTAATTATTTCAGGTTTATTCATATTGAAGATTATATTCCAGTATACCTGCCGTACCTCAGGGTAATCATTTTACTTTAATCGAAGCAGAAACATCTTTACTGGTTCAAGTTTGCTACTTTGCTACTTTGTTTTGTTCTATTAGAAGGAGTTAATATAATATATATATATTTCTTGTTTCAAAGTAATGTCATATAATTGATACTATACTTTACTAAGTTACTTTTCTTTTATGACAGTTATTTGCTAGTATTGTATCATGTTTTTCATTTATTTGAAGAGCGTATTCATATTTTCTCTATGTGCCATTGATTGTAATTTGAGACAATTGGTTTGAAAGTCACGTTATATTTTTCTACGGGTTTCGTCGTTTTCATTCCTACTTTTTCATTTATTTATAAATTATAACCTGCCTAGGGTTTTGCTCTGAAACGTTTTTTGAAACCATATTTGCGTTAAAGTTAATCTTTGCTTAAACACGTTTATGGTCAATTAATTTCCTTTTAAAGTGGTCAAATGCGACGTTAAAATTTGAATATAGGATAAATATTGTCTTTTACTTTTAAAAAGATAATCATGCAAAACACAGCATTAGTTATGCATTTTACAGATCATTTTAACAAGATATTGTTCGCAAAATAAAACGTCGTTTTATGGTTGATTTTGATGGCCAAATAATGTGGTGTTTCAACATTCTAAAAGGTTATCAAATGATAGCATCTTATCTTGACAGGATGACCATTGTATCACTTGTTCTGGTCTTGTAACCAGATATCCTTCATAAATTTCACTTTCAATATATTCTAACAATCTATTGTTCTGTTTTGTTTTAATTTATGTGTAAAAGTATAAACTTATGGTTATTTTGAAGACAAGTGAGATATATTTCATTTTTATTTAAACCATATATAAATTGAATACTAGCCTTTTTTTATTATATACAAGATACGTTTAACTTTAAACATGATAATCAACACCAAATTATACTGCAAAGTTTACAGAACAGGCGTATAAAATATACTACAATTAGAATGCAGTTCTATTGATATATTTTTACTTTGTGCAGTAGAACTTTTAGTTTTTGGTATATCGATTTCATAAACTTGATTGCAAATTAGATTTATAGGCCTTAACTTAGACTGTCTGTTTATACAGGCCTTTTGTTTAATTTTAAATACATTTAAATGCAAATACACTTACTATTGAATTATTTCTACAGCCAATCGTAATTTTACTTTAAGTAAATATCGAAGGAAATATCAAAGTAAAGACACTATTTTAGCTCAGATAACATGTATTTTTCCCTTGATATATCATCACAATTATCTTATGCCTGAAACTGCTGAATTAATTACGTTCCATTTTTTTATTCTGACCTTAATCAGTTTTTGGAGTAACAAGTTACTAAATCGACGGTAATCTCCATCACACTTCGAAGAGAATCACAGGATTCCTCTACAGAATTTAGATGAATTTATCAAATGCAAAAGTGAAATATCAATTGGTTTAAAGCCCTTCATGCGACAATTTACAAGGCTGAAATATTGAAAATTAACTTGGAATACTAAGAATTAGGAATCAATTGTTTAACATTCACTTCTAGAAAGAAACCACGGAGCCTAATAATTTAGTTATCTTCAGAAATTGTATCCAAATATACTGATTGTTGAATAAATGGGGAAAAAAACTCAATCATTGAAAATATGTTTATGCTTTCATGTAATGCGTTAACATTAAATGTAAAGCCTAAGGTTTATGTCCCAGGGCAAATCATATTTGATATAGAATCAACTTTAATATTGTTATTTGTCAATACCTCTTCATTCAACTTCCAGTCAATTGATGTGAAAACGAGATGTAGCACTAACAGTGTATTTTCAATGTTTTGATGATTGATCAGCACCAATCAAATGGTTGCCACTTCCTTTCATTTCAAAAGGCATTTCTATGACAAAGAGAAGTAAAAGATATTATAAATGTCTGGAAAAAGTGAACCCTTGGAAGCAATAAGATTACCAAAATCACATGAAAATTGCAGACTCGGCTTGATTCAGTTTGTATATCATTAAAAATTAAAATATTCACATTGGTATAAAAGCTAACTGTTACAACGACAAATGCTTTACCAGTTTTCTCGTTTTCCTAACATATTTGTTGTGTTTAAAGTATATTTTCTTTTTTGAATCTGCCCAGTTTTTAATTAACATATTTCCTATTGAACAAGCTAGGTCTTAACATTTTCTCTATTTCATTGTTTGAAATTTCTGGTTAATTGTTTAAACGGCTCTCTATTTTTGGTATTCTTACTTTGTCTCCCTTTAAAACAGTGCACGTAAGCACCTAACGACTTTATTACAATAGCGAGAGCAATGTGGTATCTATCTCTGTGAAACTGGATTTTATCACTTTTCAAAACGTCATCAAGACAACTGAACCATCCTCCGAAACAGTATCAAAGGCATCAGAAGGAAATACTGAGCCGATTACATAAATTATAAAAAATTACCGCTAGCAGGGAAGATTTTTGGGCACTGTTTTACAAAAAAGTCTAAACCTTAGAGGTTGCTCAATTTGTAAAATACCGTGTTTCAGTCTTTGTTTGTAAATGCCTGATAACGAACTGTTGCGAAATTCACGGTAAAGCTGAACATGGAGTAAAAAATCCATCTGGTAGATCGCACTTGATAACAAGCAAATGTATCGAAAATGTTCAAAATCGTCAAAGAAGAAAAGAACCGTTTTTTTAAAGTGACTTCTAGGGACAGCTGGTGACTAACGATAATACAAGGTGCCAGGACAAATTAGCTTTAAGTACAACCAACATTCTAACAAGTTTTTCACCGGAATGATTTGTCCTCCGAGGTTTTCTCCGAGCGCTTCAGCAACAACTGAATGTAAAAATAGGGTTTCACATTTTCAACATGTGTATAAAATTATTATCACAAACGATACTGTCATATTTTCTCATTTTGTTTGCTATGGATAATTTTCTCAAAAATCTCTCTAATTTTGTTCCCTTTAGATTATTATAATGATTTAACTTTCCCGTTTTGAAAAGAAAATACTATTATTGCAAAAAAATAGATGTTTCTTTTGTAACAACATATCATTTATCCACAAAAAAATCAGATGTGTTTACCTAATCTTTAGTCTACATAAAGCAAGTTACTCCCGGGTCAGGGCCAATTTCCACTCCATGGTCATGAATGATATAAATTGCGTAGAAATCTGCCAATTGATGCTACATGCCAAATATCTTAATTTTTGGCTTTGATGTAAGAAGACTAAAATGCGTTTTTCTATATAAGTTTAAATAAATCAAGAGATCCCGAGGTGGGCCAAAAATGACCCCAGGGTCATGATTTATATAAGTTTTGCAGAGGTTCACAAGGTAATTCTACTTGTTAAATATCTTAGCTCTTGGCATTGCAGTTTCACAAAATAAGACTGAAATGTGTTTTCTCATTTATGACTATATCAACTAAGTGTCCCCAGAAGCGAGGTAAATATTGACTCAAGGGACATGATTAATAACAATTATGTAGAGCCCAATAAATGTCTTGTATTGGCTCTAACATTTAAATTTCTTTTACAAAATTACAAGTGAATACGCTCAATATATTTTGATTTGCTATAACCCCATACTTCTGGTGCATATTATATGATTAAGCCTACAAAAGAATGAAATAATTGACATAATAATTTGGTTTTAAATCCATGTCTTTACAATTTATCAATAATGTGTTCATTGCTTTTAAAGCTTTACCAGCTAAATGTTCCTTATTAAAAAATGCCTGTATATCTGACCACTGTACCGAGGTATCTAAAGCTGTCTCTTACTGCTTTTGTCTGACCGTTTTTCGCTGTTAAAATACGCCCTCTTTTTCTTAAAGCAACCATTTTAGTCTTAATAATTCCAATTCAAGCAATATGTGAACAAAAGATCTAAACTATCAACATCTTACGCATGATTTTACTTTGTCATATATATTTTTAATGATTCGTTATATTTTTCCTCGTACATTACATTTATACAGTTCGTCATTAATGAATTTCTATAGATACTATCAAAACATTATTTCAAATCAATAAACACTACATATAAACGTTTATCATCATTTCAATAATGTTGTATTACATAAATATGTAGAATGGAAATTGCATCCACGGTTGATCTCCCCTTTCCAACTGTGGAACTTCTGGTGCATATGATATGATTAAGCCTACAAAAGAATCAAATAATGATATTATTTAGCCTACAAAAGAAGAGAAAATATTGCCCGTGGCAATCAGAAATAACCTTATTTATCACAATATATATTAACTCTTTCAGTTAATATAGACGTAAAAAGCTTTAACATACCCCCACTGTATTGATGTGATATTATAGTAATATAATTATATTTTCAAAAATAATTCAATTTGCGCCTTTAAACTTTTAACTTTACGAAAACTATGTGTGCATTAAACATTAAAATATTAATCTAGAAAAAATTAAATACTTTATAACCCAGTATTCCCCAGATTATAATATACCTTATTTACCATGTGGGTAAACTCTGGAAGAGTTGGACATTTCGACGCTAATTATGTGCAACAGTAGAACATACCATATTTGGTGAAATTTGAAAATGGTATCTTATATAATACATTATTTATGAAAAACTAATTGTTGCGTTGAAGTGTTGTCAGTTTATATATCAAATTGTTTTCTTCTTTATATATGAGGAAGCCTTCTGGGTCTTTATACAGACAGAATTACTGTTGTAAGACTTGTAGTTCTTCATTGATGACTTCTACAGTAGAAGAAACATATTCAGTACATGTGTCACACCTATAACAATCAAACGTCTTTACAATCTTTAAAGAATATAACTATACACCTACTGCATAAACAACTTATCTAACTTGAGAAAATATGTTAAATGAGTCCGATAGGATCAGTATAGTACTCAGCAGTGTATGATGAAGTCTTTCTTTCAAACAATCAATTTATAAAACACGAGAATGACACCAAACGTTGCCCCGGAATAGCCAAGAGCAACGGCAAAGAATGCAGTGTGGGCAATCAAAGCGAATGTGACAAGTTTGAACAAGAATTAGCTTAAGTTTAATTTTGGCATAGGAATTTGTAAGGAAAAGAGGATGTTGGAAAATGATGAACAAATGAGGGTTCCGAAAATGAAAGGGAGAGTAAACACCTACAGACAAGGTGAAAAAGACTGGTACGCAAATAAAATAAATCATGAAGACTGAACACGAAGAAAGAACAAGGTGGGACACTGCCAACGGTCAATAGCATTAACACTACTGGTGAGATTAAACCTGTCAATTGTGAACAAAACGTTACTCTTAGCTCTAAAAGGTTCCTTAATACGATAACATGTATCTCAATCCTTCAAAATACTCACCACTATGTTCTATAAAAAGTTTTAGTCTTTTACTAAAAATACCATCTGATATGTATACACAACAATAATGTCGTGCTGAACGATCTTCAAGGATCGAAAATATGATGTTATATTTTCGATCCTTGAAGATCGTTCAGCACGACATTATTGTTGTGTATACATATTAGATGGTATTTTTAGTTTCTTGTATTTGGCCTTTTTCAATTTGGGTGGTTCCAGTATTCCTACTTGAATACTGTACAATCACCCTTAGGATATGTTGCCTGCTTTTTAAATTTGTCTCTTGACGTCTTATCTGCGATATGCAGGCTGCATAACCTCAGATCTCCTTACAGAATGCCATTTTATTTAGTTCCGTCCATTGCTTTCTCGTTTAGGGCACACACATTCTTGGGGACTATATGCCGCTTTTCATGGAATGACACTTCTGTGTCACATTGAAGGTTCCATGATGACTGCCGTATGAACACATCTGCAGATGTTTCTTAATTCAAAAGTCACTATTTTTTGTGGTTAGATGTTGAATTCTGCTTAAGTCGGTGCTAGGGGGCGTGGACGGTAACTTGCACTTTCCAGTACCGTCCATGAACAGGCTCAATCAAACCGAGCCTGCAACATTTTACAATTTTGCCGTGTTGGGCTTTTTTAGGGATTCTGTTTTTCACTATTTTTTTAATCCATTTTTAAATACGTTTTCATAATCTTTTTTGAGGTATACTGTTCGGACACTGAAAATATCCGAATCAATATTTTTTTCAAATTTGATATTTTCATCCAGCAAGGTAATTTTGGGCCTCTGAAAAAGAAAAAGTCACAAGGGGCAAGATCTGGCGAATAAGGAGGGTGTGGAAGCTCGGCAACCTTTTCCTGTTTCAGATTTTCTCGAACTATGGCCGCTTTGTGTGACGGAGCATTGTCATGCTTAAACCTGACACCACGGAGGCCATTTGCCTGTCGTCGGTTTTTTAAATATTTCTTTGATGTATAAAGGACATTGCCTTTGTAAAACTTCTTTCTTTTTTGGGCTACCTAGTTGGAAATCTTGCTTTAATAGCAATCAAATTCTTCACTTTTCAACCATTCTTTGGCGAATTTGCAGTTATCGGACAGCATGCATGATGTGCATCTTTGATTGAATCCATAACACTTTTAAATTTCTTACAACACCGTGTGAAAGATGAAACAGATATTCAAAAAATATGTCTTTCGCCTGTATACCAAAAATACCGCGGCTCTTGATATAGGACCGTATTTGGTCAGTGAAATGAGACCTTTCCCGACCATTTTAGCTTAAGTTTACACGGGTAGATAACTTTAATCGATATATTGTCAAAGCTTAACTGAACGTATTTACACATGTATTGTATCAATTGAGAGCTTACACAACCATCTATGCGATTCGTGTACAAAGCTCGTGCAAAACTTAGTTAAAAGAAAATATTGGCTTAGTTGCATTCATATTTGAACACCCCTCGAAGTTAAATACAACATTATCTCCATAACAAAAGTAATAAATGCCCTAAGGAAAGGCAGAAAAACAAAAACCTGCAAGAGCTTGAGGAAACGAGGCAGATGCCGAAAATTAAGACAGTTCAGTTCTAGTTGGTAAAATACAGTGATCACCATAAAATCTACCATTTTTCCGGTCAGATAAAATCAAAAAAGGAAAGCTTAATGTGTTGAATCCTAAGATGTTTGTGCCATAATCTCTTACAAAAATGTACAAAAATATTTTTTTTGACATGGAAAATGAATTGTAGGCTATATGGTGTAAAGTAAGAATTGAAGTGGTTTTTGGACTAGGAAAATGCATATGATATGGCCCTTATGGAAATGGGAAATAAAACGAGAATAAGTTAATAAGATTGAAATCAATAATGATTATATTGATACAAACACGTGGTGAAATAGGCCAAAGAACTTTGCAAATACCCGTATAGGTTTCCGTATATTAAATATTGATAAAAAACATTTCAGGATAGACATGTGCAATTTTTAAGACTATGCAAAGTATTAAAGTCTTAACCGAACTATTATTGATGTTTATACAATAGACTTTTATAATAATATGGCATGGTGCATATCTTTGGTCGAAAATAAATATTTGTCTGATGATTATCGAATGTACAGTACTAAAACGGTTAATCTAAAGAACAATACATACAACATTTATCTGATTGTATCCGTCAATTTTATCAATGTTCCCTGTGTTTTTAAAAACAATAATGAATAAATTTTTGTCCCATTTGCATATTAGATAGTAATTTAAATGTATAAATATAATAATTGTGCATGGATGGACATAATTAAAAGATGGTTTAAAACTTTTAACTTTATTGTGAGTTTCACGATTCTTACGTTTCTTATTTTCATACATACCTATTTGCATTTTTTTTATTAAATGATTTACGTAAATTATATTTGTTTATTAAGAAATAATCACCGTTGTTCAGATATTTCATACAATAAAACCTTAATATTTCATGCAGAACATTCTTATATAATATAATGGATACTAGGTTGTTATCGTTAATGAATGTCTTAAGTTGCATACGACTTAAAATACTCCCCGAAGGGTGAGTTTATAGTCCCCGTCTTGTCCGTCCATCCGTCCGTCACGCTTTTGTCCGCAGGATATCTTGAAAAGTATTTAAGTAATTCGATTCAAACTTTACTCAGTGAAAGAGTTAATAATGCATGTTCTGTGTATAACATAGTTGCAGTGACTAGAAAATGAAAGTGCATTATAAAAACCGTAAGTATTTAAATTTACTCCCTTTATAATATTTCATAAAATGTGTTTGGAAAATATCTTGAACAGTATTGATGGGATTTAATTAGAAATTCACACAGTTATACATGTAGATACCGGTAATAACGTGCAGTGTCAAAGAACCATAATTCTACCTTGCTTTTTAAATTGTCTCTCTTTGCCTTACTTAAATGTTGAATAAACCGTGTCCGGAATATAACTTCTTTTTGTCAATGATATCGCATTGAAACTTCGCACAGCTTTTGATTATTTACTAATGTCTATCATAGAAATCCGCAGTAACGTTAAGGTCACCGATGTTAAAAAATTGTTATATTTTAAAACCTTTACTTATAAGCCTTCATTTGTTGACTCATGTCATTTTTATAAAGTATGTGAAAGCTTAGTGGGCTCTATGACTGGAGGAGAAATAGCAATTAGGTCAAGTTCGCGTTCAATGTTACAAAACTGTTTAATAAGGTGTTTTCGATTTTGCTAATGCAGTCTTTATATTGACTTATGTCTTTCATATTTGGTAGGTCCATGGATTGTCCTCTAGCTATGGGTGGAGGAAAGTATCACTAGGGTCCAGGTCACTTGTGATTAAGGTATTTTTTTACAATTTTACTGACTAATGTGCATTTAAGTTTTCAAGGTTAAACTTTTTAAATATTACATAAATCGTGCCTTAGGGATCGAGATTTCCACAGTCCTTCTTTTCTCCAGAGGTAAATTGTTATACTCATTCTAATTACTATTCTAAGTACTTTTTAGTTTGTCAAAAGGTCAAAATGGCTTTTTTCGGATCAATTTCTGGCAAAACTACAATTCAGAAACATTTTCCAATAGTTCATCAAACTGCAGGTTATGTGAAATATTGAAAAGACATTCCATCACAATTAAAATAAAATCGTAAAGCATAAAGTATGAATTTGCAAGATTGAATAACAAGGTGCAAAAGGTTGGTTTTTCTTCTTTTATCTTTTTTCGTGCTTAGGTAATTTAAATGTTATTTATAAATGTTATCCGTAATGAAATTTTGCACACATTATTTGTTGTTTAATGCTTTTATGATAAAACGTTATGGACATTTGAATTCATATCGCATTGTTGAACATGGCATCTGTCATCCACACCCCTTCATGTTGAATGACATATGTTAAATTACATGTGAAAAACTATTAAATTAATTAAAATTTAAATGAAGTCAATATAAGAAAAAATAAAGATACTAGTATTCTAACAGAAAAACTGTATTGAATTAATTTTAATCACATTTTCAATATTTGTAAAGTTCAACTTTCGTTTTAAGGGAATTTAAACGGGTATCATATGATTCAACTACATATATGTTTGAAAGATGACATCGGTCAGGTATGGTCATTTGGTTATAGTTATTCGTCACTGTGGAGTAATGTTGACCAAAGAATTGTTCCTGAAAAGAGTTAGTGATATAACACCGATTGGATCTGATAACCCGTGGACTGTAGATGATTTCTTAAAAGAAAATAAAAAAGAATTACTCGGGTATAAACATATAAAATCAAAACAACATATATTCTACCCTGGAGAGATGGTGAATGCCAATGTCGATGAGTGGGAATTGAGTACGTTTTGTCTCCTGCTATTAGATTTCTGTAAATTACCGAAAAAGATTCGCCAGGACATACTTTGCTTGAAGCATCTAAGAAACAAGGTTGTGCATTTTGGAGGAACTAAAGATATTCCAGAGGGAATGTATATAAGTTATATAGAAAAGATGAAGCGTATCTTTAGACTATGTGAGGAAGAATTAAACAATGAAAAACTAAAATCAGAACTAGACAAAATTATTGAAAATGATCAAAATATTCAGCAAAAAGACGTTGAAGAAGGAGAGAAAGAATTAAAGCAATGGTTCATAGAAGATCAAACATTTAACATTGGAATTTCAATAGAAAACGATGGGAAAGGTAATTTTATTTATCAGTATAGTATTCTACCGTATTTTTGTTGCCCTGCTATTTTACTTAAGAAAAAGCAAATTTAATTATAATTTGTTTTGATTTTCGGAAAAAAAGTTTATAAGTATAAATTGTTATATTTATCATTTTGAAGGAGTCATAACTTGATCAATTTAGTGTCTATTTCATTTACACTTCACTTCAGATGTAGGCGAAGTAAAGACAGACCTGCTGGATTATCATATGAAGTTTGAAGAAAAAGACCGATCAACAAATATAGAGATATGTAATACGTTTAATAATCTTACTTATGTTTCCTTGCAAAATAATTATTAATTTAAACGTAATTGTACACTAATGTATGAATAGTAGATATGCTGTAGAGTTTAGTTAGTTTCTTAAATAAGTGTAAGATATCTTTGTTCACATTAAGTAAATGTTTAGCATTGATTAAATGTTACAGATACAATGTACGTTTTCTATTTTTACATAAGTAAAAATGCTGTAGTCTCTGAAAGAATTTGTATAATTTAGGACTAAGACCATATGTTGGATACCAAATCTGGATATTAACTGCAAAGAAATATCCTCGCCAATCTTACGTGTACATTTTTTCATTGAAGCAATATCAATAGGTATAGGGTGGCAAGGTGAACACAAGCAATCAGGAGAACTAGCTGCAGCCCAACAGGACATATCATCTGGAACAACTTCTCCAGGGGAATCCTCAGCAAAGAGAACATTCAGGATTTCCATAGAGAAAATTAGAGGTGATGTTCGTGAAATGGGAGATCCTGATTTTGAAAACGTTGGACCTGGTTCAATTATATTCAAGTTCACATGTTCTTCAGTAACGTCACTGATATACCTTCTAGATTACTTCAGTGGACCAATCATTCAAAGAAGATTGCTAGATATGACAATGGCAATTGAAGAAATGATAGATGATCTTGTGACATTGCAAGTTTATGTTCCAAGTAAAGCATATGAGGAAACAATAAAAACATTAGGTATGACTAACTATTTTATATCTTTACCACCTTTGAAAACTCTTATTCTACACAAAGAAATAACAGTTAAAGATATCCTATGCTAAATTTTGAATAAAGAAAATATTGACAATTGCTACACATTCTCTTTATGAATATGAAATAAATATGTTTTGAGTTCACACAAAGTAGACATGTTATGTTTAAAGATCCTGTAACTCATATCTTATGGTTTTATATCATAAATATAATGCTCGAATGAAGATTTATCAATATTGTAAGGATTATTTTATAGATATTACCGAATTTACATGTCATGTTAATAAAGGGAGATAACTAGATATTTATTTTCTATAAAGTCTAAGTCACATTTTTTCAATAAGAAATGAATGCATATATTTTAATGATTACATATCATGTGGACAAATATTTGCAGTACATATTTTACATATCCTTTGATGTTTAAAAATTATTTTAGAAGCATAATTACATAAATTTCACTTAAGTGTGGTAACAACCTTAATTAAAACTTACAGGATCTTTAAAATCCTACACACTATAGATGGTCACAATATGAATATATAGTGTCATTAAAAAAGCAGGCAGTTTTTTGACTTTCAACTTCACTGGACTTGTGATAGGAAAAGCAGCTTTCCATACATAGTTTTTTCATTCTTTTATTTAAATTAGACATATTCAGAATGAATTTCATATATCTAAATAAATTTTTTGGATTAAATTATTTTACTCAATAATGAGCATAGTATATCTTTAAGAAATGATAATCAAATTGAAATATTCATTTATTTATTTATTTATTTAATGGATTTTAAATTCACACCGAAACTGGTTGACCTTAACCACTCGGCCACGGACGCCCCAAAATTGAAATCGAATAATTTTGCAATAAAAAATTTACAAGGAATATTCATGAAATTAAACATGATTTATGTGTTAACATATTAAAATTGAAACTTTCAAGACGCCACAGTCTATCTACAACTTTCTAAAGTAATTAGAAGTGGCTTTAACAAAAGTAATATGAATATTATAATCCCTTATAAAATTCTGATAACTTCTATAGTAACATGATAATATTGCCATGTATATTAAGCAAAAAATGTTTATTCATTTGTATTTTATTGAACCGAAATAAGTATCTAACATTGATATTCCAGACGGTGTTTTGGAACACGGAGAGGGTTATCGAAGTATCGCTTATAAAAGGCAAAAGTTAAGTGCAAAGGTACTCGTGAATGAGGCATCATTGTTTTATTCTTACTAATGTAGAACCCATTAGAGCTTTCTCGGAAGTGTTCTCAGTTCCTGATCAGTGCCTTAAAATGTAAAATGTTTAGTTATGTTTAATGTCGCATACATGATACATACTAGTTGTTATCCGCAATCTACCAAAACATTTAACAATTTTATTAGAAATAATGGTTCATATAATTATTAAGAAACAAGTATAGGTAGTGATCTTGTAATCATCAAAGCCTTTTGGTTTCATATCTGTTATTAAATTTGTCCTTAACCCATTACTGCATGATCATTTTGTGAAAAATGGCCCTTTTTATTGAAAAGTCTTCCGTTACAAGTTCAAATTGCTATAAAACTATAAAAAAAACTGCTTCAATACAAATCAAATACAAATGTTGACTCGACCATTGCCTTTGTAACAACATGCTCAGTCTTAAATTTCCTGTTACCATGGCATCGAGGGGACATCACAAAATTGAGCTGCAACTTCTCATTGGATTGAGATAGAGTCAAAGGCTTTTCAGCGTTGGTTACACGCAACCTTATGATCGACCTGGGGTTATGTTTAGCCTCTTACAAGTCCAAAATTTACTTGGCGATGAGGGGGGAGCTGCCGCCCCCTTCAAACCCCAAAACAGAAGGGGGACATCCCCTTCTGGCAACCCCCTGATGTATCTTTTGGATAGGGGTGGCGCCGAAAAAGTGGTCTCCTTTTTAAACAATAGTTCTCAAATAAAAACAAGTGTTGGGGCCTAAATAAGGCATTTTTTTCACCATTTGAGACAACGAAAAGGGGGGTGGTAAGAAAGGCGTTTAAAGACGTGTTTATCTGATAATGGGTTAAATATACCTTTTTGTTATTGATTCGATTACAGAATATACATTTCCACTGATAATATCTTTCTTATTTTTGTATCGGCTTGTTTTTTCTTTTAATTCTTATGCAGATATTAGTATTGGATTGTTTCAGGACACGTTCTAATAACATGTTTGTTTCTAGTGTGTTCACTCATTTCTTTACAAAATACATATAGAATGGCATAGTATTGACTAGAAAAGGCAAACAAATAAAACTGATAATACTTTTTCGCACACTTAATTAATTTTGAATATTTTAATAAGTATTCATTCGATTTAAATATTGGTATTGTTTAAGTTTTAAAGTCTACTCATTGTTTTTAAGTATATTTCTTACTTTTTAATTAGATTTTCAATGACCCGTTATATGGCCAAATAGAATTGCATCCTCTATGTGTGAAGATTATAGACACACCACAGTTACAAAGATTGAGGCACATAAAGCAATTGGAGACTGTGTATTTAGTATATCCGGGTGCAAGTCACAACAGATTTGAACATTCTATAGGGTATGTATTCAATTTATGTTTTTTATACAAAATAGCAATCCGTTATCAATGATACCATCCCTAGATTCCACTTTGCACTATAGTCTTCTTTGTCCTAATATAATACATCATAAAATCATTGCATATCAAATATGTTTTACACATACAAAGAGAAAGAAGAACAGGACTGTCAGTCAGTAGATTAACTAATACACTTCATGATATATACAACAACACTAAGTATTATTATATCTGCATGTGAAATGACATACAACAATATAGTCACTGATACCAAAATGTACTGCAACGTTCTCACATGGAACGTTCGGGGAGCTATTCACAGTTTTGGAAAAGCTTTAAGCTATCAATTTAAATTTAAATTTAATATAGTTTTTTACCCCGTGGGATCATTGAACATAAGTTTAAAACCCAATTACCTCCTAAATTTCTAGATAAAATTTCTTTGGGAAATTAAAAGGTCTCACAGTATTTTATAAAATTTTTTTGGGGGGAAAAGGGCGGCAAAGGGGGTTTAAAAAAATCCTTTAAAAGAAATCTTTTGGGTTTTTGGGTTAAAAAATAATATTAAACACAAACTCTCATAAAATTTGTCGGATTCAATTTTATTGTGAAAATATGTTTTCCTTTAATTTTTACTTTTTCCCATTTTTATACCGAGGAAAAAAATACCAAAAAAAACTTAGACAACTTACAGAGTCTCACGTTTACCTACTCACCCGGGGGAACCGGGTTTTTTTTTTTGTGCTGATTGGAACGTAAATTTACATTTTACAGAGACTATTGACAACAGGACAACAGCTCTGATACAGTTCCTTAATCAAAACAATTTGAGAGTAACACGAACGAATGGACTTGATTATACCTTTAAGCCAACACGTTAAATGGTAGACGGGGTTGTGATTTCTAAATCGAGAAATGACTTTATCACTAAATGTAACATTATAGATGACGATTGTTGCTCAGTTTCGGATCATCAACCGATATGCACTGTGATAAGCGGATTTATTATGGCGTATATCTCGAAAACTGATCATATAGCATGGAATAAATGTACAGACAATGGTCTTCAAATGTACTCATATTATCTAGAAACAAAATTATTAGAATTTGATTTAAGTGATTTTGTTCCTAGTCCTCATGGCATCGGAATTCTGTATTCTCATATGTCAGCAATTCTTTTTGCCTCAAAAAATGCCTTACCAAAAAGAACTTATAATGAGCATGCAAAGCCCTACTTGTCGCCAAAACTAAATTCTGTCCATATTGAACAAAGAAATGCAAGAATACAATGGATATTAAATGCAAGACCACGTGATCAGACTGATGATAATTATATTCTGTATAAATCTGCCCAGCGACATTTTATAAATACACAAAAAGAGGAAATACATATGTTTCGTGATAAATATTATGAAGAACTCAATACAGCGGCAGAATGTGACATGCGCCTTTTCTGGAGCTTATTTCGCAGAAACAAATGGCAAATCAGCTTCAGACGTAACAGATCTAAAAGACAATGGCATTCTCACGCGTGACCCATATGAAATTGCTGAAATTTTCAGGAATTATTTTGAACAGGTTTTTTCGCCAAAAAAATAATGAAAAATTTGACTACAAATTCTTAAATCAATTAGATTAGATATTGAAGTGAAAAAGTTCTTAGAATCAGATGACTATAAAGACGATGAAATTTTATCTGAAGCGGTTAAATTACCTGAAATCGAAAGTGCCCTGAAGTCGCTTAAAAAGCGCAAAGCACCGGGTATTGGCAAAGTCGTAAACGAGCATTTACTATTCGGTGGTGATGTTTTAAATAAATATCTTCAAAAACTGTTTTCTGCTATGATTCAAACATCATATATACCGTGTAACTGTAAAATTGGTATAGTTATCCCTATATACAAAGATGGAAAACCGAAAGATGAGCCAAAAAGCTATAGACCAATTAGCCTATTACCCGTAGTATACAAAACATTTGAAAAAGATATTGCACGAACGATTAGATAAATGGACCCATGCCAAAAGAAAGAATTTTCCAAACGAGCAGCAAAATGCTTACCAAAAATGCATAGGTCCCTTAACGGTTTCATTCAATCTTCAAGAAACGATTGCTCATCAGTGTGAACTAAATTCGAATACCTTTGCTATGTTTCTTGACACAGCTGGTGCCTTTGATAATGTTAGACATAATTGGCTATTCATAAAATTGAAAAACTTTGGAATTCATGGAAGATTTTTAAGAATGCTCATCAATATTTACACTGGCTTAACCGGACACATCATAGTCAACGGAATCCTTCAAAATACAACAAAGTATTCGTCAAGGAGGAATTTTGTCAACATGGCTGTGTCTCCTTTTATAGACGAATTTCTTCAGTCATTACAGCTAAGTGGTCATAGAACGGTTATTGAATCTATAAGAAGTGGTAACCCAACGCTAGCTGACAATATCGTTAATTTGTCGCCAAACATTAAATCTCTTGGACACCTGTTGAATATAGCGAACAATTATGCATTCAGATGGGTATATGAATTCAATGACAGTAAATGCAAATAAATGCACTTTGGTAATTCTGGCAGACATGCGTTTAAGATATAAATATTAATATCGGAAGTGCTTCCCTACGTCCGGTGGACTCGGTTACTCACGGCGGCATTGAACTACACAATTCGCAAAAATGTTCAAGTGCTGTAGAAGCGCGTATCCGAAAAGGCCGCTTATCTCTATTTTCTATTCTATCTATCGACGAGACTCCTGTCGACGTGATTCCCTTAGTTTTGGCCTCTTTAGTGAAAAAAGTTACATTTCCAACTGCCTTTTACGGAGCGGAATTATGGAATGATTTGACAGACACTGATATCGTTTAGATAGAATAATAATATCTGTCATATTTTGCGGTTCGGACCGGAATATCCGTCCCGAGGTGACCCGCCCATTGGGCGGTAACGAGGCTTGCCGAGTTACCGCCCATGGGCGGGTGACCGAGGGACGGATATTCCGATCCGAACCGCAAACATATGTCAGATATTTTTTCTTGCATATTCTACCATATTCCATTATATTTTTAATTCTTTATCTTTATTTTCAATGAAAATTTATATCATTACAACCGTAACTACTTTCATTCAACAGCGTATGAATTACATAATCATTCATAACGGTAAAATGACGTCATCTTTATCGTGCCATTGTACAGCACGCGACTCATCTGGAACCCCCCATGCCAGATGAAATTTCCGGCATGGGTAAAACTAACGGAAACGCCAGTCTGATATGCAAGAAAGGTTATTCCGGTTAGCTGCCAAATGCATTCAACACTTTCCTAGAAGATATCGAACTGATATGATTCTAAGCATTTTGTGTTTTGTGTGCTTCAAATCTTTACATACCGATATAAGCCCATCAATATTATGGAGAAATTCCGACTCTCTAAAACTCAATAAAACATGCATTATGTACTGCTAAAGTTCTTGTTGAGGCAAAGCAAAGTGATGTAAGAACATGCAAGAAATGTGGTTCTCAAACAAGTGACCTTAATCTCCATGTAATATCAAATTGTATTTCACTTAAAAAGACTCGAATAGTGTTGAAAGACAATATAGTCGTGAATTCAGTAACTTCCTGAAAGGATGTAACAGCGAGACGTTTTAAGAACTATCTTAAATCCTCGTGTTTTGGATATATATGACAAAATATATCTCCAAAAAGACTTCATACAAAGTGCTTGTAAATTTATATACGATTGTTTAGTATTTGATAACTAAACGTTTTATCTAAATAAACACAAGTACTTCAAATGACAGAAAATATTTAAGCGGTATTGCCTAATTTACATATCTTATATTTCGTTTCGGTAAGATGTGTGATACTAGGTTGAATACTGAGGCATTTAACCATATATAATTACATTGCATTATCAGTATGATAACTCAAATGAAAATGAAATATGAAATATGTGTAAAACAATTATATAAATGTGTTTTTGTTGTTACGCTTAAATACTTATTGCTGTAAGATAACCTCTGATATAATATTAATATAATCATATAGAAATATAATCATATAGAAGCTAATACATGTGTATGAAACCATTTAACTTGAACTTAATTATGTCTCTTTAATAATATATAAATGTACATTTGTCATAATCATGTATCACATGTGTTGCAATCGCTGAAAAGCGGAAATAAAGAGTATATGTATATCATTTAATATTCCAAAACAGAGAAAGTAAGAATCCCTAAAGAAAGCCCAACACGGCAAAATTGAAAATGTTGCAGGCTCGGTTTGATTGAGCCTGTTCATGAACGGTACTGTCAAGTTCAAACTACCGTTCACACCCCCTAGCACCGGCTTAAGCAGAATTCCACTTTAAACCTTAACTGGTACAATTTGGAATTTTGAAACATCCAAGCCTATATTAGATTCTATATTGCTTAGTTTCACTTCTGGGAATCTGAGATTGTATGTATGTATAAAAAAAGACTTTATCAAATATCCGTGCCGCTAAAGCATCGCGTTAAGATGCGCTAAATATAAGCGTTATATTATTGGTGCGTCAATGAATAAATAATTGAAAAAGTTTCTTTATAAGTATTTGATAAATAGAATATTATATTCGTGTAGGTTCATTACTAAATCTATTGAACTCATTCAATGAATTCAGTATTCAACCTACACCCATTTAATATTATGTATGTTTGTCATATATGACTGTATTAGAACTCTTAAAAAATATCTGGTTTTAAATTCAAACTTCCTCATAAACAACACAGAAAACTGTACTTACTTTATGTAAGGGTAAAACGTAAATATAAGTTCCCTTTAACATAAATAGATTTATTTCAGTATCGCAGTGTAAACAATAGTAACGAAAATGTTGTTATCAAAACATATACATGTATAATCATTAAACACTTATACACCTGACTTTCAACTATTTATAGAATATCACAGTTATAAACAAGCACATTGTACATGTTTTTAAACAATTAATGACGAAATTAAGAAATTATGCAAGTAAATATATTATCAGAGGTTCATAATAACAGTTAATGAAAAAGCACAAACTTTGATTACCATTTTGCTGGCAATAAGTGTAATGCAGTTAAAATAAATACATGATACCGAATATTTATAATTGATATCATCATACATGAAATTTAACTTAAAAAGTGTTTACAAATAGAATCTTTAACATATGAGGCTGTGATACAACGATTATTGAAGATGAAACTTATTCCATATATTACAAATAGCATATGCAAGGAGTTTCTTACCTATTTCGACCATACAGGATTATTAGATGTATTTAAGATAATGTTTTTGTAGTATCTATCCATTCCGCAAACATTTTGAAAGAGGGTTTTACCAGTCTTACTAGACCAAAGAGCCATAAAATTTTGTTTTTTTTTTAAATTCCGTAAGCAGTTCAAAACTGCACTTTCATGACATTGTTTGTAAACGTGTTTGGAAGAACGTTTACTATGTTACGACAATGCACGAAAAAAAGACTGAAATCTAATAGACCTAAGCATTTTTAGACATTCATTTTAATATTCGTAGTTGTATATTCATAGTAAATAACTTGCGGGTCTGTTCTAGTCACAAATATATATTTAAGTATTTCATACACGTTATATTTTCATTCAAGTCGAGTATTTGCATGCAAAAATAATACTCAAAACACTTTATCAAATATTATCTATATATTGTATCAGTTAACTGTAATCTCAATTTGTTTAATCATAATAAAACCTTGTCCTTTCTACTTGAGCTTTTGGAAAAGCACAATCGAACGATAGTGTTGGCTATATAGCAATGTATTGATTTGTGTAATCAACATCTATGTAATGTTGAGCACTTTTATCACGGGGAGAAGTGTTACACGAAGGATGGAGTTCTTATGATAACTTGTTCAGGAGTTCTTGTGATAACTGTCACGGAGTTCTTTAGAAAACATCTGTACATACTACAAAAACACTCGTCAAAATGGTTATTGTCATCGTTTAAAAATGAGTTTTAGGTGCTAAATTAAACTTTAATGATTAAGCTTGTCTTACATCTTGTATTATGTGCTAAGCCTAATTCACAGGCCATTTTTCATCGCCTCTTTCTTCAAATCTGATAGTTTTCATTAAAAGTTCCAAATTACTTGCCAATTCACAAGTTTTGAACGGTTTATTTCTAGTCTTCATCCTTGTCATACATAATTACCTAACTATAATGCAAAATTGCAAACATAAAGCACCGGTTAACAGATTTATACCCGAATTTTTAAATGTCCCGGAGTTCTTGTGATAACTCTGAAGATGTCACAGAGTTTTTATGATAACTTTTGTTATTGCCAGTGTGTTTCATGCGCTAAATCAGGGCACGTTTTGACGTTTATTATCATTCAATAAGATTGTAAATCATTATGAAATGCAGTACGATCATCCCTTGCACAAAAATTTGGATAAAACGTTGGTCTTAAGTGTCTGCAAAGGATAAAAAGGTGATAGGCTATCATCTAAAGTAAAAATTGAACCAGCGGCTATATTTAGCAGTATAAAGGCTTAAACCACAAAACAAAAATGTTTTAAAGCGTGCACGTTGTTCTCAGTTTCACATGTTTTAAGCAACCACCTTTCTTAAGCAGACCTAATATAGGCATGCTTCCCTTACCTAAGTGCTAAGTAATTTGTATCATTTTATACCATAATAAATAAGTATATAACAAGGATAATTTCCACACCTATGTCTTAAAAAAGTACGATACATGATAAAAACTCAACTTCGGTTGGCTCTAACTACCGATCTCTCGAACAAATTTGAACTAAGTTTGACTATATATTTTTGTTATCAGTTACAGCAAATGTAGCTGAGTTTCCTCCACTAACATTACATAGGGGAAATACTCATCAAACATCGACAGTAAAATATACATGAAAATACCATATTTGAGTATTTCAAAGCGAATTTTATCACGTACATAAATGCCCTAGTTTCCGGTCCCAAATCGCACTTTTTAACAAATAAAATTAAAATCTGTCTACCGAAGAGTGCAAACTTTGACAGAACAAAGTTAGGTACCTGTCCAGCATTAACATGTTTTAATGTTGCTCTTTTATTTTACATTTTAATGGAATAAAGGCCTGAGATGTAACACCTTTGCTCACATTTATTCAAAATTGAATAGCAGTTTTTCGGACCTTTTTTATTTTGAATATAATTCAGTACCAATAAGCAATGTTTGGCTGGGTTTTTCAAATAGATATAACTTCCCAAACCTTTCCGTTTCGTGTAGTAGTGATTTACCTAGAATGGGATTTCAGTTATTGTGCATGGGCATTCAAACTAGAATTCACCAGGTGTTGCTTGTAAGTGTCGCAAGTTCACTAATGTAACTTAAAACAACAGACAAAACTTTGAAACATATTAATCGCTGTACTATTATAACTGCTGTATTACATAGAAAAACAAATGTTTCTCTGATTGATGCAGTAACATAGATGCTTAACTAAGAAAAAATAGACTGTATGACTGAATGAAAATGATAAAGGGCCAGAATACTGCTAGGAGCCGGAAACTGCTAGGAAACCAGTACATAAATCCTTTATCCAGTCTACGAAATCTATGTCAAACAAAAAAGAAAATACTATGCAAAAGAAACGGGGGTAAGAAGTAATATCTCTTGAACTAAAGTTCACTCAAAACCAACATTATATATCCTATTTTTTGCGCAAAGGATGAGCGTACTACATTTCATAATGATTTGCAATCTCATTGAATAATAAAAAACGCTAAAACGTGCTGTGATTTAGTGCAAGAAACACACTGGCAATAACAAAAAGTTATCGTAAGAACTCTGTGACATATTCATGGTTATCACAAGAACTCCGGTACATTAAAAAATCGGGTATAAATCTGTTAACCGGGGCTTTTTTTGCAATTTTGCGTTATAGTTAGGTAACTATGTATGACAAGGATGAAGACTAGAAATAAACAGGTCAATACTTGTGAATTGGCAAATAATTTGGAAATTTTACAGAAAACTACCAGATTTGAAGAAAGAGGCTATTGAAAATGGCCTGTGAGTTAGTTTTTGACACATAATACAAGATGTAAGACAAGCTAAATTATTAAAGTTTAATTTAGCACCTAAAACTCATTTTTTAAAGATGAAAATAACCATTTTTAACGAGTGTTTTTGTAGTATATACAGATGTTTTCCGACTTACTCCGTGACAGTTATCGCAAGAATTCCTGAACAAGTTATCATAAGAACTCCATCCTTCGTGTAACACTTCCTCCCCCGTGTTTATAAATCCTTTGCGTAAGAAGTTACATAAATTCCACAACTTCATTTGGATATCACCATTTTTAAGTTGATTTACCTCCTTACATGTCAATACTCTGAACAGATAACTATGGTATTAAGACAATTTGAGATATGAATTTGTGAACATTTTACGCCGAATTGGTTTTTTGCTGTTATTCTAAACGGTTCGGCAATTTCCATATAGGATCTCCCTTATTGATATTTTATAATGTTTAAACGTTAGGTCTTTAAGCAAAAAAGAAATAAACATAAATAAATATAAACAATAAGTGGTACAATATAGAACAAAAGGCTCATTAAAATGTTTAATATAAAAATTCACAGCGTATGTTACCTGGCCGGTAAGCTGCTAAGAGTTCTCAAAGAACGCCAGCCTGAGTTAGACATCACCACAAAAGATATTCTGTGTGTAGAGGTTGCTGCCCTGTGTCATGATCTAGGTAACAATAAACACTTTACCAATTTTTTGGGTATGATTAAAGTAAATCAGTTGAAATTCAGGCTTTAACCTGTTTAATTTGCTCTTTTAAGAAATGTCTGTAAATAGCTTTCAAACAAACACAGAGCAGCATTTCAATAAGGTACATGATAATATTCACTGAAAGTCACACATCTGGCATCCAGATAAGAAATAATTTACCCAAGATATGTCTCAAAACTCACAATTTCATTGGTCAGTGTACAGTCTGTGTAAGTATCTGATCAATCCAATACCAGAGTTCTGATTTAGATCGCAGAATCTTTTTCTTAACCTAGAACCATGTTCACAGAAGTTATTTGTTGGAGGTTGCTGATTCGAAATAACACTATAAATAAAAATTTAGTTGTTTTGATAGGAATTTGAAGATGAAATATATTCAAATAACTTGTCTTTGACTTTATCTTCAACATTTTAACAAGCATCAGTCAGAGATATCAAAGTCATTACAAAATTTGTAATGAAACTATTTAACACTCTGACATTTTATTGTATAAAAGTCTTAAATTTTTTATTTTAATTTATTTAATTTTTCTTATTGTTTTTATTTATTTATTCATTCATTCATTCATTTATTTATATTTTGCACAATGTAAATTGATGTCAAGTGAATTGTTTGCAGGACAAGGACCTTTCTCTCATGTGTTTGAACAAAAATTCATTCCAGCATACACTTCTCCGGATGCTGGTTGGAAGGTTATATTTTCTTAATGATTTATTATTTAAATTTACAAGTTTTATTGATAAGACTAAGGATATCCATAAATGTTATTAGACGGCAAGTCCGGTGAATGCTTCGAAAAAATCTTGATACTTTAATCAGCAACGACCTTAATTTCCATGAAAATTTCTTACTATTTAATTGCCTAAGAAGCCTAGCTTGACAGATCTTCCGGCCTGAACAACTACTACATGAACTCTTTTTTGTAAGATACCATCTACAAGAATGATCTTGAGAATAATCTAGATTTGTTGCTTGTTTGACTTGTTCTTATTCCATCTGTTTCATATTTGTCAAAACAAATTTCCCATAATGCATCTATATAAGAAATTGTTCTAACAGTAATGAATGTCAATATGATTCATTTTACAAAATTTTAAAGAAACCTTAATCAAATATAGCGGGGTGATTAAAACATTTAAAAGTTTTGTACAGTATATTTACTCTCTTTAATAGCATGAGATGGCCTCAGTGAAGATGTTTGAGCTTATGTTACGTGAAAACAATGGTCAACTGTATGATGACTTCAAACGGATGATACCTAGCTTTGAAGACAGAGATATAATATTTATAAAAGAACTCATCGGTGTTCGTAGGGATATAAATGGAGAAGTTTGTATAAATATTTTGTTTCTAGGTACACTTATATTTTAGAAACCAATGGGCGTTTAAACTTGAAGGTTTTTATTCACATTTACCAAAGTAATACATACAATAATACATTTCTTGTTATGTAAATATTTTACAAGTTTAGATAGACTATCAGTATTGCTATTTCTGTATTTCATATTATGTGCACATGTATTTTGGCAAGCATTACAAATTTACAAGAGATATTGTGTATTTACATGCGACTTAAATCTCAATGAGAATATTTTACCTTTAAACTGTTATATCTGGCAAAGCTATTGGGTCTACCATTGAACCCAGATATCATGGGTACTATGTTTCCCTATCAGATACCAGTATTATTAAGTTTCAGAAAGCGGCTCGAGAACAATTTAAATAAATTGCAAGTTGTCCTTATGATTTACTTCATGATTTACTTTATATATCCTGTGTAAGCTAAATTAAATATATGACAATGTTTTCCTTTAATAAGCTGTCTACTAGTATATGCCCTTCTTAAATGAGAGTCGTACTGTGTCAAGTGAACATTGTTTGATTAATAATGTGTTTCCTTTAATTTAGAACTGGCCATACAGTGGAAGAAACAAGCTAAAGAGCTTTTTATATGAGGTACTTTCTATTGAAAGGTCGCTGAACTCTTGTAATACATTAAACTATATAGATAATAATTAAAAATTTCGGTATATAGAATAAAGGTTATTACATACATGTATTATACAAATATGGACTTTTAGCTGGTGAATTTGATGTGATATGTACTGCAAAAATTAATATTGACGAGGTCAATATTAATATTTCAGTACATATCACATCATATTCACAAGCTAAAAAGTACGTATCTGTTTTATCATATTATTCATAAATAGCTTTTATATGGCTTATTAAATCTGCTATTGCCTACGTCGTTAATCAACATTTTTCAGCTTGTCTAATTTGCCATAAATTTGCCCTATCTTTTAAATGAGTGCATTAGCAAGCTTATTCTTAGTGTTGACGGTTTTTCAAGAATAATATATAACAACAAACTTGACGTGACGTCACGTCATAGTCTGGCGTCTTTAGGGAATTTCCAGAAAATCTATTTTTAGAAGAAAACCGGTGAATATATTCTAAAAATCGATTTTTAGGGGAAAAAACAGTGAATATACTCTGATATTGACCTGTTAATTTTTTTTAAAAACGTTGCTTGTTAGCCAATCAGGGAAAGGCATTACAAAGCTATTTATAGATTATATAATAATAAGATATGTAGAATAATGGTTATTACAATTTATATTAATATAGAATAACGGTTATTACAAATTATGGCATTGTTAAATACAAAGCATTTGTATAGAATGTCCTTTTTCATTTGCCTACAAAAAACGGACTTTAAAGTCCGTGCTAAAAAAAGTTATCTACACACCTAAATAGTGTGTATCTTAACAACGTTTCAAACGTCGATGCAGAATAAACTGTATTTTTTATTCCGTAAGCGACATTGTCCTCTTTATTTCATTTAAATGCCAATTAATTTACTAGGTAGTAGCTAATCACGTGACCGGGGTAGACGTTGACAGATGGGACTATATTGCCCGCGATAGCTACATGCTGGGGATGGAAAATGGTTTTGATCACAACAGGTGTATACAACATGCACGGGTACTTACAGCTGAAGGAAGAAAACAAATCTGCTACAGAGAAAAGGTACAGTTACCGACGACACATCCAGTATTCAAATTCGAAAACCGAGTATATTTTGAGAAATCTAATCAGTGTTTCTTTTTATGACCTCCGGAGTGCATATATGACTTTCAGTCTGATTTGTCTATCTTTTTTACATAAAACTTTAACATTGACCATGAAACGGAATTAGTTCCACCTAGGTTTGCAAGTAAATTTAATTAAGAGAACGGAGTAGATATACATGTAAAGATTGACCTTGATACTATAGAATTTGTGACATGATAATTTTTTCAATCAATCTTTCAGGCAGCTCAGGACATATATGATATGTTTTATGCAAGACTAACTCTATACAGGAGAGCGTATCAGCACAAAACGCATAACATTATTGGATTAATGTATGTACAAGTATAACGTTTAAAACATTCTTATATATAAGTACCTTATATTTTTGTTCGAGTATAAAAATGATTTTGCATAGATTGTTTACTTTACCATTAATTTATTTTAATTTATTTAGGTACATTTGACACTTGATTTCCATGAACTTTATTCATTTTTTAATTATTTATAAATGAATCAACGCATAAGGTATAAGATTTGATCTGTAAAATTAACAAAGACCTTTTATTTAATATTTCAGGGTATGCAATGCTTTGCATGATGCAAATGACCACATTTCATATATCGGAGAAAACGGGTAATTTGTATTTGTTTCATGATTTCGTTTGAATATTAGTTAAAATGTGTCAGTAGCAGTATTGTTTTTCAAACACAAAATATGCTTTTATATCCTTTGTTAACTATAAACAATAGGTCGTCTTCGTTACTTTAAACCTGTATCAACCTATTTGATAATTTTGTCGCAACATCCAATGAACTTTCTGACTTTTTTTCATCAGCCTTTGAAAGATTTATTGTATACGCAATTACCTCCATCTAATTTGATAAAAGATAATTATGTTTGATTTACGATAAGTACCATAATATTATATACTGAATAAAACCAAATACGTGTACATATCAATCGAATTCATGTACTAACAAGGCACATTTTACAGAAATTTGATTCGTATGCAAAAATCAGACGAACAGTTTTGAAAGTCTGATTTAAATCACATGTATTTAAAGGGCAAGTGTTAAAATGTCTGACACAATCTACGATATGAAGGCTTATACATATTTCACTGATGACGTCATTCAAATGATACAGCGTTCCTCCAAAAAGAGTTTAGAAAAGTCAAAAGCTACGGTAGAAAGAATAGTTCGCAGAGATTTCTACAAATGTATATGCCAGACACAAGTCAAAGTCACTGAGGTATCCGTAAAATACTTTTGGGGTTTATTTTGGTTTTTCTTATTCATTTTTTCCCGTTACCCGTATATCTTTTATAAGCTATACAAATAAATCTATGACCCACAGACAAGAATACCCATAATGCATATTTGTTTGTTATCCGGATTTGACAAAAAGCTGCTGGGATCATATTACTTCATACTTTATACGTAAAAATACATTGCTATAGGGCGTTTGTCACTCTTATATATGCATTTTTGTTGATCGAATCATGCTTGGTGCTTACATAAAGATATTACACTTGGTACATTCTACAAGGATTGTTCAAAGAATTTGTATAATTTTGTGATATCTCTCACAGTTGTTCAATATTTATGAAATTTGGTGTGTGAGAACCTTCATCTGCCTCCTCGAGTATGACTTAAGTAGCAATATGATAATTAATACCCGGAGTAATGAAAAATATAAATAAAAGCACTGAAAGTGCTGTATGCTGTAAGCTGGATAGAACTTGAAAGCATATGGGTAGTTGTCGAGTTATTGAATGTTCAATGAATTAATAATCTATTTATAAATAACAAAGTAAAAGCCAGTTACAGTAAAAAAAGAAAGAACATTTTAATAATTTGACCTTCAGGTTTATGTTTTTATTCAAGTTTAACCAATGTACAAACAAATAAGTCTTGAATGTCAATGACGCAAATAAAGAATTCAAAACGTACAGTAACAATACCCATAATGTAAAACACATAGTTGCACAATTTTGCCCGATATCAAGGTGCACTTTTTCTTTCTTTATTGGACAACTGGCTCTGCAGGAAGCCCTAATAATATGTTTAAAATAATGTATGCAAATTCATGCGAACTTCTTCTGAACTCACAAATTACTTCTACACGACAAATACTTGATAAACAATTGTAAAATAAAGTTACATGCATAGAAACAATTGACATTATATTTATTTTTGTAAGTATAGCCTAAAAAGTGAAATAACAGTTAAACTGTTTTTTACCTAAACACATGTTACTGCGAAAACACAATTGCTCACTGAAATCAGCAAAGTAACATCGGGCGTAGATATACATTCATCTGTTAATATTTTCAACAATTTTTATTTTTACAATCTCATTTGTGTAATCAAAATATTAAAATTACATAAATATATAATTGTCCAGCTTTTAAAAAATATTCGAATCATTGAGGATTGTTTGTTACATTTTGAGAACTGTATATGTACTGCGCAGCAGCAAATCATAATTAGTAAAATGGCTTTTTTCGCTCAAAATGACCAGGCTCTCGAGAATCTGTAATAACCAAAGCGGCTTGGTGCAAAAGTTCTTCAAGAGTGTTTTCAATTTAATAAGATAAATCTCCGTATGCCGCTAGAAAGGTGCAAACACGTCAGTCTTTAGAGTGACGTTATGATGTCACTTCTACAAAATTTCAAACCAGTTGCAGTGTGACACCATTTTGTTTTCTAATATTCAAATTGTTTGTTGGAGAAATGGCGCCCGATCGATCCTAATTCAACAAACCAGTCGTAACCAACGAATAATAAGTTTGAAGACACAAAATGTGTGTGTTTTTTTATCAATGACTACAAAGCAAAAGTGCAAATCAATAGTTTGAGAGCTCCGGTGTGGGTTAAATGATTTTTTGTAAAACAAATAGAGCATTGAATTATAAAAATGTTAAAGGGTTTTGAGTGTGCGATTTGTTTTAAGTTCAGTTGATTTTTGAACATTTGATAAAAGAAATTATACAATTTTCCCCAATACCCCTCGTATTTATCGTTTGTTTTGTATTAATTTACCTTGATTGATTAATATATTTTTATACTTTACTGCATTTTTCTCACTAAAAGTATGTGGCTGTCTTGAAGTAGGAATGAGACAATATATGTACATGAAAAGAATAAAATCTTGAGCAGAAACATATATAACAAAATATATATTACTTGTTATATGTATCTATTGTTAGCATTTATTATTCATCGTTTTGTGACGTCAATAATGCCATGTTTTTGCAGCAGAAAGATAGATTTGAGAAGGCATCTGTCCAAGAAAATTTGTTTAACAGGATTAATCAGAAAAGAATTGATGAGAGAGATTTGTCGGAAATCCTTGAAATAGACGTATGTAAATACTTTATGTCCTTTCAACATGTAGCATAAACATAAAACATTCACGAATCATGAATATCAATATAATATACAAAAATAAATACATGCATTATTTTTTGTAAACATTTTGTATACATAGCTTATGTACAGCTTAAATACTTTGCACTTATAAACTACATTTTAAATAGTAAAATATTACATTGTTTCAATAATTTCGCAAGTACTTTCTACATGTTTATTAAGAACCGTCAAAGGTCTCTATTTTAATTACTGTAATAATTCCGCTAACACTATTATTCAAAGGTCCCTATTTTGATTGCTGTAATAAATCCGCTAACATTATGATTCAAGGGTTTCTATTTTAATAACTGTAATAATTCTGCTAACACTATGATTCAAAAATCCCTATTTAAATTACTGCAATAATTGCGCGAACATTATGAGTAAAATATCTCTATTTTGATTGCTGTAGAAATTCCGCTGACACTATGATTCAAAGTAATAATTCCGCTTACACTATGATTCAAAGATCCCTATTGTGATTGCAGTAATAATTCCGCTAACACTATGATTCAAAGTGCCCTAGTTTGTTCACTGTTATAATTCCGATAAAACTTTGATTCAAAGGTTGTTAACCTGGATTATGGGAGCAAGGACAAAGACCCTGTTACAAATGTCTGGTTTTTCAAAAAAGGCCAAGAAGATACACCTATACGTATTGATAAAGACCAGGTAAATCGTTCAATATATATACACACACACCATGTCAATTTTATAGTTTTCCATCTGATTACTTCTATAGGCTATTGTGTTTTCTTTAAGTTCGTGTTAAATTTTAAAGCTAAGAATGTGTGCAAGTTTCAGACACGAATGATTGTGTATACTAGATAAAAGTTTATGTTTATCGCGATGATCACCAAATTGAATTCCTATCTTTGGAATTTTCATAGGTTTCGTTTGTCTTACCGGACACGTTTGCCGAACAATATATTCGAGTGTACTGTAGTGAAACAGATCAAGAATTATTCGATGCAATTGAAGAGTCGTTCGCAGAATGGTGTAAGGAAAATAAAATTCCACAACCAAAGGTATTAGTATGGTTTTATTTTCTATCTCTATCTCATCTGATATTGATATGTTAATGAATAATTGTAATAGAACTTGTCACGTTATTTATATAATATATTGTATTTTTTTCCGAATTTCCATATATGTAACATTTTTTTTTTATTTCAAGAATTTGTTTTCTAGTTCGTCTTGGTTGTTTGCATATGAAATCAGCGATATTTTAAAATAAAAATCACTACGTCAATATTTTCATTGATTTATTGATGCTCAAAAAGATTAAGTATTATCTTTTATTTCAAGGGTTCCCGTAAACCTTTTGCAAGTTCGTCGGGACAGCCTTAAGCAATAGAGGATCATTGAATAGAACATTAATTGTGTCAGCACTCTCATTGCTAAAATATTTGAAGAAGCATTGGAATTAGAGTAAAATGTTATATTAATTATTTCTGTATTTCATTTTTTCTTCTTTTTTTCTTTTGTTTTTGTATATTGCTAATAATGAAAATATATGTATTGTTTGAACAAATGCATAACAATATGTCACATATGAACTAGTTTTTATGAACTTACACTGTGATCATGTTTTAACCATTATCTATGTTGTATCATATGTTTTGTCTGTATATGCAGATGCTTATTGCCTAGTAAAATTGAGTTGGGTTGACTTGAGGTAAATTATAACTATATGTAAAAACTTAAAGTTTTGTTAACAACATGAAGAAGGAAATACATAAGCTATTTTTCATGTTTTTCTTGGTGAAATTGAGAAATTATAGTAAATATAGTACTTTTATAGGCTTTTAGTTTGTACAAATTTATTTTAGTTCGATTGTGTTAGACTTTTAGCATATAGAAACAGTCTTGAACCAACCAGTACTAAGCAATGAATGTAAAGTTCCTTGCTCAAGGAAACAACATCTTGCCCCTGACTGGGTCTGAACCGCGGTCAGCAATCTTTATAGGCTTTTATTTGCTAAGTAAATTTCATTGGTATAATTTACATTTCAAGAAAGCTCATTAATTAGGAACAAAGACCGTAATAAGGTATCGAAATATACATGTTGATTATAGAATTTGCAAAGGTTGTTCATATAAGAGGATATTGGAACTTTAGGATACTTTATGTTAAGATGTCATCTTTATGGTTCTGCAAGACCTCTGTAAATATCTTGTATATCTTACATGTTAAAAACTTTAAAGCAGGAGAAAAGTCGGAGCCGTTTGTATATAATGATGTGTACTGAGAAAAATGAAGCCCTCAATGCTATCATACATTTTTTCTCTCTCTCTCTTTCTTCAATCTAGACTAGATACTCATACTCATAGGTAAAAACTATTTCTACTTTACTTTATGTGCTAGGCCTTTCATTTTTATTTTCTTATTTCATGTATTATTTTTTGTTTTGGCAATTGCAAATAGGCTAAAAGATAGATATTGAACAAAAAATGCAATCGTATGTAAAATATTACAACTGAATATCAGAATATTTCTTTCAAGTTAAGTTCTTCTGAAATAGCAACAAAACGATAATTTGACTTACCGTGTTTAACTGGATCTCCTTTATTCAATTTGTTGTCAATTAATTTGCTTTAGCTTCTTATTGCTACAAATTCGCTGTTAATTGTGTTAGCTTAATCATAACAAGTTTAAGTTATGTTTATGTTCATTTAGTTCTGTACGCAATATTATTATCATTATACATGTATGATTATATGCCTGGAAAGGCCTATGCTTGGAAATTAATTTTATTGTATATGACCATTGCTTCTTATAGAGGTAGATAGCTGGTAACAAAATAGGTCCCACCGACTTGTTTATATCTTGTTCTGCTTAGATGTCCATCAGATTACTTTCATATGTATACATATGTTTTTGTTTTTTTTGTCGATTTTTTTTAATTACGCGATAATAATTCTTTTAATAAGATTGATTTACTTGTATAACATGAATCACATACATGGACATTATTAATAGATTTTTATTATTATGATTGTTATCGTTATACAGATCAGTGTGTGTACTAACTGCTTCGCCTCTTCATTTAGATTCAACCCAAACTGATATAAAGTAAAGACGCTGACAACTTTTTTTATTTTATCTATTGTAAATAGATACAATTTTTACATTTCCATTTCATGAAATGCATTACACATTACATCAAATGTGACTTGTACTATATTTTTGTCGGTCTGGCCATGCAATGTAACTCAAAGATAATACCATTTATGTTTAGAAATAAAAATTGCATTTAAGAATTATTTTTCATATTGCACGCAAGAGGGGGGGGGGGGCTAAATGCAGAGTCCCTCTGAAGTTTTAAAAAGCCTGGATTCGTTCATTCTCAAGCTACTCAAGAACATATTCCACTAAGAGTCACTGTGAACTTTACTTTTGACATAATGACATCAAAATCAATAAATCAATGGTCGTCCGTTGGCTAAGGACATTGTTCTTGTCAAGTTTCACATACATAACTTTATTCTTTCTTAAGTTGTTAAGCAAACAACGACGATTTCAAGATTCACTGTGACCTTTGACTTAACGACCTCAAATTCAGTATGGGTCATCTACTGGCCATGTCCTTAATGTCGTAAGCATAGACTTCTTTTGGTTTGTGAATGTTATAAAGACGTTAAACGCGATCTAGCTTAAAGTCTATGAGCTATACTTTCCAATGTATTAAAGAATTATTTCGCGTGAATGCAAATGCTATCTCGACTTCTTGTCACGTATTGTCATGTTTCTGTTTTTTGTATATGTATTGATGCTTTGTCAATGGCTCTTCTTAGGGCTTAAGTACAAATAAAAGTTCTTTTTATTCATTCTCACTTATTGTGACTGTGGGCTTGACCTTTGACGTAATTTAACAGTGACATTATGACCAATTAGCGTGTTTGTGCACATAAACTTTGAAGAAGAAAATGAAATTAAACATGCAGAAAACTACGACTTAGCTTGAGGGTTGCCTCTCTGAACCAAATGTTTTCATTTAATAAGTAGTAAATGTCATCAAACATTGTAAGAAAATACTGCTGCACAATTGTGCATCTATAATAAATTAAGTAAATTTAAAGGAAATATTTCTCCATCAGTTTTACCATGTTGTTCTCACTAAATTAGTTCACAAAACCCGCTCTATTGAAAACCTAACAAGTATTACAAGTACAATTTTTTGAACTTTTTTGCGGACTAGCTAGCACAGTACCAATAGATTTCATCCATTAACATGGCGGTAACATGCCAAAATAAATTGAAGATACATAACTTCTACATGTTTACTCCTTTGAATATCAACCATATATAACGCAGTAAATATGCTTAATTTTTTTAATTAAAATAAAACATTGTTAGTGACAGATCTGTAAATTCAGCATTTGCTATTCAGAATAAAGAAATTATCTTTTTATTACTTGTAGCAAAAACTTAATTACATTCTGTGCAGCTATGAAGAGCCATATGTACGAATTTGACCTTTGTATATAACCCCTAAATGTTTCCCAGTAAACTTTATTTAGCAAGTTTGTTTTTGATTAATAATGTTCATAAGTATAACTAGAACTATCACTAAATGTGATTAATACCCCCGCAAGACTGCTTCAGAAATGAGGATGTTACTAGTAATAGAATACCTTGTAAAACAATTGAAATACAGTTATGGATGTGGGCAATTAAAGATAAGAGTGGTTCTTGTATGTTGTATTTCCTTTCAATGTGGTTGGCCATTGATGAAGTTTTATTGAATTACTCTGTAATAAGTCCAGAAAGACAAGGAAAAAGAACAAAGGGCAATAACTCTATACATACTGAAGAGGGAGTTATGGTTATTGTACACTGCACTTCCTCTCATTGTCCTTGACCATTGTATGAAGTTGTATTGAATTCCAACTACAAGTTTTCAAGTTATGCACAGGACAAAAAAGTAACAAAGGGCAATAACTGTAATTAGTCCAAATAGAGTTATGGTTCTTGTGCACTGCACTTCATCTCACTGCCCTTGACCATTGTATAAAGTTTCATTGAATTCCAAATTAAATTTTTAAGTTATGCACTGGACAATAAAAAGTAACAAAGGGCAAAAACTTTTAAATGAGTCCAGAAAGAGTTATGATTTCTGTACATTGTGCTTCCTCTTAATATACTTGACCATTGTATGAAATAGTATTGAATTCCAACTAGTAGTTTTCAAGTAATGCTCTGGACAAGAAAAAAGCAATGGAAAAGTAACAAAGGGCAATAACTCTATAATTACTCTGGACAGAGTTATAGTTCTTGTGCACTGCACTTCCTCTTATTGTGCTTGATCATTGTATGAAGTTTTTTGAATTCCAACCAGTATGTTTTAAGTTATGCTCTGGTCAAGGAAAAGTATCAAAGGGCAATAACTCTGTAATTTGTCAAAATGGTGTTATGGTTATTGTGCACTGCACTTCCTCGACAACTGTATGAAGTTGTATTGAATTCCAACCAGTAGTTTTCAAGTAATGGTCCGGACAAGGAAAAGTAACAAAGGGCAATAACTCTGTAATTAGTCAAGATGAAGTTATGGTTCTTGTGCACTGCACTTCCCCTTATTGTGCTTGACAATTGTATGAAGTTGTTTTGAATTCCAACCAGTAGTTTTCAAGTTATGCTCCGGACAAGGAAAAGTAACAAAGGGCAGTAACTCTGTAATTAGTCAAGATGGAGTTTATTTTTATGGTTCTTGTGCACTGCACTTCCTCTCAATGTGCTTGATCATTGTATGATGTTATACTGAATTCCAACCATTAGTCTTCAAGTTATGGTCCAAACAAAAGAAAGCAATGGAAAAGTAACAAAGGGCAATAACTCTGTAATTACTTTAGATAGAGTTATGGTTCTTGTGCACTGCACTTCCCCTTATTGTGCTTGACAATTGTATGAAGTTGTTTGAATTCCAACCAGTAGTTTTCAAGTTATGCTCCGGACAAGAAAAAGTAACAAAGGGCAATAACTCTGTAATAAGTCAAGATGGAGTTATGGTTCTTGTGCACTGCACTTCCTCTCAATGTGCTTGACCATTGTATGAAGTAATATTGACTTCCAACCATTAGTTTTCAAGTTATGCTCCGAACAAGGAAAATGCAACGGACCGCTGGACCGACCGACCGACCAACCAACCACCCACCGGGTGACTCCTATATACACCCCCCCCCAAACTTCATTTTTGGGGGTATAATAAACAGTTCAGAAACAAAAGTGATTTGTATATAGGCAAACCTGTCTCATTTAATTCACTGTTTATCTAGTTTTAAAATAATATCTGCATGATCACAGTACATAAATAAGTCTTCTTCCTGTTATCACAAGGTACATGTTAAAATATATAGGCTAACATGTGCTTTTGCTCGCAAGACATGGTACACAATAAAT